TTTTCATTCTCAACTGATGCCATCGCCAGTGCTGCTTGAGGTCTTTGGGGGGCACTTTTCATCTGAGAGTCATACTGGTACTTGGACCGTTGCCATGTTCTCACAGAAAGGGTCTCTTCAGACCGGGGTATCATTTGGACAGGAGGGTTAAAGTTAGAAACAATTATTTACTTAGAGGCCAAACTGTGGCAAATGAGCTGGGCACACAGAAAGCTGCAACAGAAGCTGCCTGTCAAACACTCAGAATGACACAGGTCAGGGGTCACTTCCCTTCAGAGGGATTTAGAGCTGTTAAGCAAGTCACATTTTAATACCACTATTCCGTAGCCAATGCCTGTATAGAAAGCAGCTCTTCCCACAGGTCAAAATGTCCTCCTTTGGGTGAAGGGTACAGCCCCTCTCTATTGAGGTGATTTGACAGAGTGTAACCCCAGAGCCAAAGGCTAAACTGCAATTGAAATATTGTAGAAAGGTTCAGGACGGCAACTTAGCACCCCTTCAAAGTATAACCCCCAGAATCAAAGGCAGAATAGGACAAAAGGGTGGAGCATGATGCAGAACTGCCCGTCTTGGATCTGCAAGCCTAAACATACTTACACTACATGCCCAAAAGTATGTGGACAGCTGCATATTATTCCAAAATCATGGTCATTAATATGGAGTTGGTCCCGCCTTTGCTGCTATAACAGCCTCTACTCTTCTGGGAAGGCTTTCCACTGTTCCAGACGTTGGAACATTGCTGCGGGGACTTGCTTCCATTCAGCCACAAGAGCATTAGTGAGGTCGGGGACTGATGTTGGGCGATTAGGCCTGGCTCGCAGTCGGCGTTGAAATTCATCCCAAAGGTGTTCGATGGAGTTGAGGTCAGGGCTCTGTGCAGGCCAGTCAAGTTCTTCCACACCGATCTCAAGAAACCATTTCTGTATGGACCTCGCTTTGTGCACGGGGGCATTGTCATGCTGAAACAGGAAAGGGCCTTCCCCCAAACTGTTGCCACAAAGTTGGAAGCACAGAATCGTCTAGAATGTCAAGATTTCCCTTCACTGGAACTAAAGGGCCTAGCCCGAACCATGAAAAACAGCCCCAGACCATTATTCCTGCTCCAAACTTTACAGTTGGCACTATGCATTGGGGCAGCTAGCGTTCTCCTGGTATCCGCCAAACCCAGGTTCGTCGGTTGGACTGCCAGATGGTGAAGCATGATTCATCACTCGAGATAACGATGGCGGCGAGCTTTACACCACTCCAGCCGACACTTGGCATTGCACATGGTGATCTTAGGCTTGTGTGCGGCTGCTTAGCCATGGAAACCCATTTCATGAAGCTCCCGACGAACAGTTATTGTGCTGACATTGCTTCCAGAGGCAGCTTGGAACTCGGTAGTGAGTATTGCAACCGAGGACAGACGCGCTACGCGCTTCAGCACTCTGCGATCCTGTTCTGTGGGCTTGTGTGGCCTATCACGTTGCGGCTGAGCCATTGTTGCTCCTAGACGTTTCCACTTCACAATAACAGCACTTACAGTTGACCAGGGCAACTCTAGCAGGGCAGAAATTTGACGAACTGACTTGTTGGAAAGGTGGCATCCTATGACGGTGCCACATTCAAAGTCACTGAGCTCTTCAGTACGGGCCATTCTACTGTCAATGTTTGTCTATGCAGATTGCATGGCTGTGTGCTCGATTTTATACACCTGTCAGCAACGGGTGTGGCTGAAATAGCCAAATCCACTAATTTGAAGGGGTGTCCACATACTTTTGTGTATAATGGTTGATTCACAAAATCAGACTTGTGACCTGATTAAAACATGATTCCTACCAGCTAATAAGGCTCTGCACTGCACCTGTGGGAGCATGTTTGACTGCTAAAACATTGGCGCATTAAACGGAATTATGTATGCATGTGTAAAAGAAGTTGCAGAATAAGTTCCATTAAGATGATATACGAGAGGGGATGAAAGGATCAAAAAAAGTAGCTACAATTTAAGGGAAGGTTAGTTCCTATTTAAAATGAATTCTGCTGCCATTACTGCCAAGTGTTGTTGGCTTATCTGCATTGTTCCACTAAGCCGTTTTTAGGAGGTGGGGGTGTGATTTAGATGGGAATGGGGTGCTACGCTATCTAGCGTTGTGATCAGTAAAAGTCATTTCACGCATCAGCGTTTGTCAGCTCCTATTAGCAACTTCCTCCTCACAATATGAGTCTCTCTCTCTCTCTCTCTCGCTCGCTCTCTAATAGCCCTTTGTGTGAGGGCCAAGATGAGCGGTCACAACACATGGGACGCTCTGGTCCAAAGAGCCTGATCCAGTACATGCGTTCGACAGTCAGCTGCTCTGGTCATTAGGAGCTGCTCTCAGAACGTCTGCTTGTGTCCCAAATGGCACCCTATTCCCTATATAGTGCACTCCTTTTGACAAGGCTTGGACAAGGGCCCGCAGGGGCTTTAGGCCGAGCTGGAGCCCAGTGCTGCTGCCTTGATTTACCCACAAGGCCTTTGGCACTGAGGCTTCTCTCCGTATGGACAAGGTTTAATTGGGGAGAGGTTACATAAGTCATCATGGACCATCTGATGGATGCTACCCAGTGTGTCACAATAGCAGCCCTGTTTTCATGAGCTGATCATTCAGCCTACACGATCATATTCAGCTAGGCCCTCACGTGTATACTGAACAAGGTTTAGCATGAGTCTTCCTGTTCAACTCAGGTTGTTAAGCTCAAACAGATATAAATCATGTTTACTATGCAATCAAGTGAATTCATCTGTCTGTTCAATTAATTAGACAAAACCTAATCTTAGCTATGTAATCACGTGTATATTGAACAAGGTTTGCTAATCAAGGGTGTTTGTTAAAGCAGATATACAACCTTATATAATATCCATCCGATCAAGTGAATAAATCAGGCCGTTCAATGAATCAATTGTCCCGATAACAACTAATCCATATACTCCTTGTCACCAACGAAGATGAGACACAGACAATGGTGTTAGTGTGATGTCACCACCACCATTGAGGAATGAGTGGCCAGGTCAAATCAAAGGTCTCCATGCCACAGTATGTAATTACACAGCCTGGTTCTCCTATTTTACCTTTGACCTGAGAGGGCAGAAGAGTTCGAACGAGGTTCAAGCCGTCATCCCAGGAAGAAAATGGCGAGGGATGAGGTACTCATCTATGTGTAAGAGAGAGACGGCGTGCAAAATCTGCCCTCAGGTTAGGGAAAGCAATTGAGAGCCACCCTCCCCCATTCTCTCTAACACATGCTTCGACTCCCTCTCTCTCACACACCCACTCACACAAACGAGAGCACTGAATCATCCGTTCCTCCTGCTTTGAACCCTGACATGTGACAGCGGTTGAAATGCCCCCAAATGAGCGAGGCTTCTCCTTCTAATATCTAAGTGATCTAGATTCACCCTCTTAGGCAATAGGTCATATTTGGCTATAGGTCATATTTGGCTACCTCATATGGAACATTTTCACAGTCCCATCATAATAAATAAAGCAAACTGATGTGCCACGTCCATTAATCAGTAATTTCCCAGGGGAGATCAGCGGAAGTACCGGTCTAAGTGACTGAACTCGCATATTAATACGTGATTGACGGACAGCCCGCTTTACAACAGCAGGCTTTAATGCAGAGATTTCTATGAGAGAATCTCATTTGAGCCACTCCAGAGAGATGGCTGGTGCAGAGGCAGCACTGTGAGGGGTAAGAGGGTTAGGGATAGATAAGAGTGATGGAGGGAGGCGGGCAGGTTCTCACACAGCAGTCAGTCAATGTATCTCAGTGGACTGGCCCTGAAGAAGTGTGCTAGCACAATCAAGTGTGTGTGGCGTAGTGTGGGTGCAGCAGGGGAGGACGGCTCATAAAAATGTCTGGAAAGGAGCAAATGGAATGGCATCAAACACATGGAACCCATGCCATTACCACGAGCCTGTCCTCCCCAATTAAGGTGCCACAAACCTCCTGTAGTGTGTAGTGTAGTGTGTGTGTGTGTGTGTGTGTGTGAGAGAAAGAGGAGAAATAGAGAGTGTGAAATGCGTGTGTATAATAACAAAGTGAATGTGTGTATCCCAGGGAGACGGTGAAACAGTGTCTTAATGGGAATAGAGGGATACTGCAGTTAGATAGTATCCTGGTTGAAAAGCTCCACGTTCCTCCAGGGTCTAACACAGGAGGAGACCTGGCCCTGAGGAGGAGAGGAGCAGACTGAGCCCAGAGAACATCTTTACTTCATATCCCTCCTTCATTTCTCGTCCCTGTCTGCCTCATCTGCAGTGCTGTGTGTGTGTGGTGCAAAGTCGATAATAGCACCCCTTCTGGCCAATGAGAACACGGAAAGAAAATATTTCAGTAGTACACTGCTACTTGGAGAGGTGAAACCACATAATCAAAATGTCTTCACCTTCAAAAAGGTATTTCATTGAAAGATTTCTGATTCCTCACACCAACAAAGCCCTCTCCTCAACGCTTCATTCTTAGTTATCATCATCTCCTCTCCCGTCCATGTGATTGACAGTGAATGTATAGACTAGAAGTGTTCATTCTGCCAGGCCGGTGAGGAGTCTTTCTGTTTGGGACAGCGCCATGTGGGGGGCTAGGGGGGGGGGGGGGGGTGTACTGTGCTCTCAGCCACATGCTAGGGGGGTGTACTGTGATCCCAGGGCTCTCAGGACTCTCTCTGTCAAAGACTGAAGGAGGAGATTGCCACACATAAACATGCCCCAATCCTGCCCACCGCCAAGGGAGATGCCATGGCTGGCCCTTCTTCAGTTCTCCATGCATGGCATTCCCTGGCTGGCATCCTGGTATCCTTTGTCAACTTCTGAAGTCTTCTAGTTCTGTGGTCTTTAGAGGGGGGATAATGGCGGCTTTAACGTGATAACGGCTCCTCCCTCCATCTCAGAGGCATTCTCTCTATGGTTGTAGTGACTAGTGTTGTGCTGTAATAGCACTGTAGCTCCTCTGCTTCAAAGGTCTTCTTTCTCCTATGTTGTTTACCACAGTTCTAGAATCAGAATCCAGTCAGTTAGTTTAAAATGTCCACCATTCCATGGCTGCTGAATCTGGAACTGGGAAGAAATGAAAGCACAATCAAAACGTTCTTGAAAACTGCTGCTTGAGAATTCCAGAATTCATTCAGCACATGGACATGACTGTTTTATGGCACTTCCGACACAAGAAGGTGATTGTTTCGGGGTTGGGAGTTAACGGAATACTCTGTGGGAAGGGCGACCTATGACTCCCTCGCTGGGGAATCCTGACATCACACACACAGACGCCATGTTATGCAGACTCTTCGCTTCAGAAAAACACCCGCTCAACCAACAGAAGGGTATCTGAACGCTGGTGGGCTGCTTATTGGACTGGAGAAATTATGAAAGATTTTATGGAATTTAGAAAATGTCATGATGTAATCTTACTCCAATGCAACCCCAATCTAAATACACAAGGTGATAACTTTACAACCACATGTATAATGGAAATGTTGGCTAATGGCATTCATCATGGCGGCAGGTAGCTTAGTGGTTAAGAGCGTTGTGCCAGTAACCGAAAGGTCGCTGGTTCTAATCCCCGAGCAGACTAGGTGAAAAATCTGTCGATGTGCCCTTGAGCAAGGCACTTAACCCTAATTGCTCCTGTAAGTCGCTCTGGATAAGAGCGTCTGCTAAAATGACAAATGTAAATGTGAAATCATATTCACAGCTTCAATTTAAATGTAAGATTTCAGTTTTTCTTCACAGTAGAAGTAGTGGAATGGATAACAAGACCTTTTTGAAACCCAGGTGTTGTTTTTAAACATTTTAAAGTACCTAAGGTGTCCCACTTTCCCAGTGAGAGGTAAGAGCTTTCCCCAGTTAGCTAGCGCCTAGCAGGTTACTAAAGATTTGCTAAACACATCCATAATGAGGTTGTCTACTTGAATCTCTATTTTAAATGACACTGATGAAGATGTAGCAGTGAAAACGGTGTGTGTGGAGGTGGTTCTGCGTCAGGATAGTATATGCGTCTCTGGGAGAGATGAGACCTGGAAGCAGCGAGTTTACCATCATATCATTCACCTGGGGTTGGAGAGAGACATGATTTGATGTCTAGTAGCCAGCCAGATGTGCTTACTGATGAATAAGCCCCACCCAGCACTGTGTGTGCGTGTGTGTGTGTGTGTGTGTGGTGTCAGGGCCATACGGTAAACAGGGGCGGAAGAGGGGCTATAATATTATTGATCAGTAAAATAGCTGAGTGGAGGGAAAGTATTCAGGATGTAGGTATTTGTTGTTGCTGTGCACGTCCTGTCTAATGGCATGCGTCTTTAGATGCCTGTTTAGAATGGATATTGACGTTAAGTGTCTCTCAGGCAGAGTGCGTCTCAAACACCACCCTCTTTCCTATGTACTACACTAATAGGGCTCTGGTCAAAAGTAGTGCACTATGTAGGGGATAGGGTGACATTCAGGCCAAAACCTTAGTGCTCCCTGTCCAAATGTAACTGCCTGGAAACAAACACTGACGGGGGGGGGGGGATTTGAGCTGCTCCATTTTACCACGCTGATGATTTTCACATTAAACCAAAACTCCTGAAGTGTATTGAAGAGATTGGGAGGATACAGGATAATATGAACTAGGAACACACTGGAGGGAGGCCATTAAAAAATAATAAATCACTCAGTCCTTTAAATACAGGCTGCTGCTATGAAGGAAGCGTCCAGAAGTATTCTACCATGAATAATAATCCTGTTACAATGCCTATATCCACCCCTGTCCATATTGGCTGAGTTAGCCCCTTGGTCCTGTATGACTCAGTTGGTAAGCCTGTGGAGGCTGTAGGCCTAAGTCACTTTGCATTAAAGCTCATGTTAAGTGGCATACATTATTTAAGTGATAATGCCCGAGAAGCAGGTGTTTGGAGGATATATTGGCACGGGTGTTGTTAAGCCCGAGATGAAGTCGAGCACCGGCAAACCGTGCCAATATATTATTCTAAACACCGGCTGAGGGCATTATCACTTTTATACAATGGGTTACCAACATATTCAAATTATGATTGACATATTTTCATTAAAAACATTATTTTGATTAATTTATTCATACTACTTCATCCTTCCACAAGATATAGTCCCGATACAAATCTAGGGTTGCTACCCAATCCGGCTGGTCCTTCTTTCTATCGGTTCGGTTGCCAGAGACACGACCCAGTCATTCAGTCTTTTTGTTCTGTATCTATGGACGCGACCCAGTCGTTCAGTCTTTTTGTTCTGTATCTATGGACCCAGTCGTTCGTTCTAAATGTTCCATTGCCATACTAGCTGGCAACGTTCTTATCCCTTGCTTGCTAGCTAGCCAACTACGGCTAATTTACAGTCACGTCAAACAGTGCAGCCAGAATAACAGCGAAGTAGCTACATTTTCATAAGCTGTTTTCTAGTTAAATTTATTTGGATACATCCATAACAATGACCTAAAGAGGTGCGATTTCACCTGGCATAGAAAATGTGCTCTCATCAGGACACTGTTGTTCAGAGGAGCTAGCCAACAACACGGCTAACACAATCACTTGAAATTGAAGCTGGAATGAATGCAAAATAGCTGCTCTGAAATATCTATTGATATTTCTTTGTATATATCCATAAAAATTATGCTGATTCATGATTTCAACTGGCTGAGAAAAGCTGCCTACCTGTCTGTCTTGCCCTGACTCGTTCATTCCTATGGGACACCTGGAGATCGAATTTCAATATTGAAACAATGTTGCAAATATCGGAGAGACAGACAGCAAGGTTTATACAAATCTCTGCTGTTGAAAACTAAAATGTTAGTCTAAAAGAAAATGTGAGATAATGTCTAGATGCTTTTTATAGCGGAGATCAAGTTTATAAATTGCCTGGCTGGGCTGATGAGACAGTGGATTGCGCAGTCAGATGGAACTTAGTAAATAGGCATTTCAACATCATAGATTTAGCCTGTGGTAACTTGTGGAATAGACACTGGCTGGAATGCAGTTTTAACCAATCAGCATCCAAGATTAGACCCACCCGTTGTATAATATATTATATTACCACTAAGTAGGAATGGAGGGGGGGGGAGACAGACAGGACAGAGAGAAAGAGAGCATGGCCGGGGAATATGTGGAGTATTGGTGGCAGCTGATGTGTAGCACATTGTGAGGGTGAAAGCATTAGGGTTTTTAAAACTGGTCTTACCTGGTGAAGGTCGTGTCCCAGGGCAAACTCCTGGAAGTACCCTGGGGCAGCGGAGGATGCTCTGACGGCCTGCCACAGCTTGTGTTCACAGCCCCCCAGGTAGTGGGAGCGCACCCCTGGCTGCAGGTTATAGTTTCTGAACACATAGGCCTTCAGAGGAGTGCCCCTGTTCACAATGGTGCTCACTGCTGCCACCTGGAGGTAAGAGGAGGGTACATGAGATGTTTTGTTTTTCCATTTGGCCCCATTTGATAAGCTGCTGGTGACTTAAATGTAAATGTACATAACCCTGTATTGAATAAGAGTGACATTAACAGAATGTGTTGCTAAATCCCCATAAGAGATACAGGAGGGGTGGCATATACATTACATAATAATATGACAGTGATAAGATTAACAGAACAAAACAACACAAATGCACTACTACAGAAGTTATAATCACCGTAGTGACAACATTTAGATCCATAAAAATACTTTAGAACACTGTAGCGCTGTGAGGATCCATTACAATCATTAGAACTGTTACAAGAGTATTTACACTAAAATATGACGTTATAAGCCTAACACCACAGACAAGCACGTATTCTGAGACATTCAGTGTAATCCTTACCGAACACCTCATTATTTCACTGCCTATCCTCAGCCTGGCTGTCGTACATGGAATTACTGTATGTGTGAATTCTGTGTCAGCCTAGCCACCGGAGTAGCAGCAGTAGAAGGGTGTGTGTGTGTGTGTGTGTGTGTGTGTGTGTGTGTGTGTGTGTGTGTGTGTGGGGTAGAAATAGAATGGTTCCAGCCAGCCAGTGAGACGATGGACAGAGGCTTTATCAGTGACCTCGTTATTAAGAGACTGAGGGACTACCTTTCTCACGGTTCTCCCTCAACCGTGAGGGTGTGCGTGTGTGTGTGTGTGTGTGTTTTCCAGCTCCACACTGTTAGACACGCCACGTTAGAGAAACTCACCTTTGGGCATTTGGGGTTTCTTGATGTTTCCACCATCAGATCAGAGCCCATTTTCTCTCTGGGAGAAAAGGAAAGAGAGGGGTGCTTAGTCTCTGGCTGAACAAGTTACTAGCCTTCAAATCTACTTGTTTCCTCCCTTCCCCTCAAAGCTCATTGGAGGAAGTCAGAGGAAGGGACCTTTGATTATCTCCTCCAATGAGCTTTGAGAGGAATTGAGCTGCTGTGCTGTTCTTAAACTTATGAAGTGAATCTATTCAATACTGACTTGAGGATGTTCTCCCAGGTCTCGGAGTCATAGAAGGCGTGGCTCCAGCCCATCTTGACGGTTCCCACGATGACGTTCTGCTTGAAGACGTCAGAACCCAGCTTCCTGTAGAGCACCTCACACTCATTTAGAGGGATCTGGAATACACCCAGCATGAACCCCAGGATGGCACCTGACAGAGAGAGAGAAGAAGAGGATATTTCAGTCACACGTGGAGGACGAAGGAAGTGCATTTTAAAAATGCTTCTTTGTTAGGCCAATAACACCAACACATTTGTGTCTTGATGCTTTAAAATCATTAGGCCTGAGGAGAAACATGCATAAACACTACCCCTTATAAATAGACACTATAAACAAACACTACCCCTTATAAATACACACTATAAACAAACACGACCCCTTATAAATACACACTATAAACAAACACAACCCCTTATAAATACACACTATAAACAAACACGACCCTTATAAATACACACTATAAACAAACACGACCCCTTATAAATACACACTATAAACAAACACGACCCCTTATAAATACACACTATAAACAAACACGACCCCTTATAAATACACACTATAAACAAACACGACCCCTTATAAATACACACTATAAACAAACACGACCCCTTATAAATACACACTATAAACAAACACGACCCCTTATAAATACACACTATAAACAAACACGACCCCTTATAAATACACACTATAAACAAACACGACCCCTTATAAATACACACTATAAACAAACACGACCCCTTATAAATACACACTAAAAGCTCTAGACTCCCTTGAGAATCCCTCAACAAGGTTTCAGAGATGCTGACTGACAAAGGGACCACAATGTAAATCTCATTCTTCCAGTCGTCCCTGGACCAGGGGCAGACCTGGGTTCAAATAGTATTTTAGAAAATAATTTCAAATAGATCTGTGATTGACTGAGCTTGCCTGGCTTAATTGTCCAACAGAATAGTCCCAAAACTGAAAAGCCTGCACATCTGTCAGCCCAGGCAGGCTAGAGGAAACGCCCAAAGTATTTGAAAGATTTCAAATAGTATTGGGGTCTGGGGCTTACAGAGCAAGAGAAACTGGATAGGAGGCTAATTGCCTGCAGGATCATCCGTTATGGGCATCATTACCCAGGGATGATCCATCCAAAGAGACTGGCTGAGATTAAAATGGCCACCAATGAACCAACCACAGTGACAGTGACAAGCAGATCACTGCTAGTGTCCACGTGACCACAGCCATATACTGACGCTAGCTACGGCCATATAGTGATGTACAAGACAAGACTGTCTCCTGCCCTGAGACAAGACGTCTGTTGCCCTGTAAACACCTCCACTAACAGCCAAACCATGATCTATATCTCTTGCTGTTTCTCCAGTAGCACTTCCTTCCACCTATCACCAGTCACCTGACCCAGGCTGCCTACTAGCTGCTCCACAATACCAGCCCATCTACTCCCATTAGCGCCATCCTCACAAAACACACAACCCAAATCTGTGCCTGCCTTCCTGCTGCACTCTCTCTGGGGAGAGGATGTCCCCCACCCATCCACCAGCCCCCATGGTTGGGGCAGCTGCTGCCAGCCACTATCCAAGAAGACAGGCCCCTGTCCCAAAGCTGGCATGGCGAACCCAGGGCGTGCCAGCCAGACCATCGTGCCCAGAGCGAGACAGGCAGCCAACACCAGACGTGGTGGTCCAGATGTGGCTGTCCTGAATGTTAAAAAGTGTGCACTTCACTTAGCTTAGCTGGTAGAGGGGATTACCCTGTCCATTGACTAACACACACTGGCCAGCCGTCACACACACGACGTCTGAGAGCCAAGGTCTTGGCTGGCTACCTCCAACTGGAGAGGATTAGGGAAAATTGATATATGGAGAGAGCGAGAGAGAGAATGGCCGGGGCAGATAGAGGTTTGGTGGCAGCTGTAGTGCAGCATTTTGTGAGAGGGAAAGCATTAGGGTTTCTAAGATGACAGAAATGGTCAGGCCATGATGGACCTTGAGAGGAGGAGCAGGGAGTTGTGGTAAACAGCACCCCCATCTGGTGGTTTAGCGTATGATCATGTTATATAAAACAGACAGACATAACATGATGATAGCCTCCATAGTCTACTGGCAGGTGTGTTGGCTTGATAAAGATTTCAATTTCTCTGGAATCTCTGGCACTCAAAGTACTCCAGTCAGCTTCCTTCTAGTATTATATAAACTGGAGACCATTAATCAGGTCTCAAATAAGAGAGGAGATCTGTTGAATTAAGAGCCTGCCCACAACAGTACAAAAGAATAGGATAAAAGAGGTTAGAGGTCAGATTAGAGAGCAGGGATGAGGGCTGAGAGGCCTGAGCAGAGCAGGAACTGGGTCAGCCATGGGACTGAGATGGTTTCAGCCCAGTACAGAACTGACTGGAAGAAGCAGTGAGCACCCTGCTCTGTTTAGATTCATCCACCCCACAAGCTAGGCAAGCTGCCCTCACACACACATATACACACACACACACACACACATGTGCGCACTCTATAAGCCAGGGGACAACATAACATACCTGTGCTAACACCACAGATGTAGTCAAACAGTTGGTAGATGGGTTTGCCTGTCAGGGCTTCCAGTTTCTGCAGAGTCTGAAGGGCAATCAGTCCCCTGGAGAGTAGAAAACACACACAGGTCAACAGCACTAATACAGATTCTCTACTGTATGTGAAAGTGAGTGAGGACTAAGTACGCACAGAGACGGAAAATAACATCCGCCAGTGCCACACACACATTCAAACGGAGTACATTGGATAAACTTGAACGTGGTGAGTGTTGGCAAAATACACACACAAGCATGTCTTTCCATCTCTCTCACTAGCTCTCTTATTGCCCTTTTCTCTCATGCTACCCTCTCTCCTTCACACACCCCCCCACTACTGTACCTGGTTCCCCCTCCGTCGATGGACAGGACCCTGATGCCCTGGCCCTTGACAGGGTTGGTGTATCCCACCAGAGTGAGGGCCTCCATGACTGCTGCCTTCAGAGACGGGTCCTCAGCCTGGCGGAGACGCAGTAGGCACGGGATCGCCTTCTCCTGAGGGGCACACACAGCAAGATATTATAACAAGATATGGTTAACTTAACTGACAACAATTTGGTCAGTTCTAGAGTTTTAATGTAAGCGGTTTTCATTTCAGTCAATTCAGGAACTACGCTGAAATTCCACATTCTTCTCAGACAAGAAGCAGGGGAATTGGAATTTAAATGTACTAACTTAAAATGTTAATATGTACCCCAAACCTGCCCCCAAGGAAGAAGGAACCATAGCTTGCCAGTCCCTGGTATTAAAAACGTTTGAGAAACACAAACTTAGCAGAAGCTTTTATCCAAAGCCACAGAGGACAGCGAGTAAAATGCATAGGGCACGCATTTTAGTATGTGTACTGCATGTGACCCCTGTGGAACAGAAGTCACAACTCCAGCATCCACACACATTGACATTAACACAAACAACACCCCAGTGTCAGCGGGAATAGCAGGCACGATCTGTGACCAGTGGTCTGACGTAACTATACTGTAACAGACCTTAAAACACTCTATTGTCTCCTCACTTGAGCCCTGTTGACTAGGTTATCCAACGTTTCCTCAGGCCAGAAACAACGGCCTTGGGTTAAGTTGTCCAATCGGACAGTCCCTACAGATAAGGGTATATGTAATGTAAATAACCAGCATGATGATAAGGGAACATCTCTGTGGAACGCTTTCGACACTTTAGAGAGTCCATGCCCCGATGAATTGAGGCTGTTCTGAGGGCAAAAGGGGGTGAACTCAATATTAGGAAGGTGTTCCTAATGTTTTGTCACTCAGTGTATAGGCCCACATACAAACCTATATAAACTCAGCAAAAAAAGAAATGTCCTCTCACTGTCAACTGCGTTTTCAGCTAACTTAACATGTGTAAATATTTGTATGAACATAACAAGATTCAACAACTGAGACATAAACTGAACAAGTTCCACAGACATGTGACTAAGAGAAATTGAATAATGTGTCCCTGAACAAAGGGGGGGTCAAAATCAAAAGTAACAGTCAGTATCTGGTGTGGCCACCAGCTGCATTAAGTACTGCAGTGCATCTCCTCCTCATGGACTGCACCAGATTTGCCAGTTCTTGCTGTGAGATGTTACCCCACTCTTCCACCAAGGCACCTGCAAGTTCCCGGACATTTCTGGGGGGAATGGCCCTAGCCCTCACCCTCCGATTCAACAGGTCCCATACGTGCTCAATGGGATTGAGATCCGGGCTCTTCGCTGGCCATCGCAGAACACTGACATCCCTGTCTTGCAGGAAATCACACACAGAACGAGCAGTATGGCTGGTGGCATTGTCATGCTGGACGGTCATGTCAGGATGAGCCTGCAGGAAGGGTACCACATTAGGGAGGAGGATGTCTTCCCTGTAACGCACAGCGTTGAGATTGCCTGCAATGACAACAAGCTCAGTCCGATGATGCTGTGACACACCGTCCCAGACCATGATGGACCCTCCACCTCCAAATCGATCCCGCTCCAGAGTACAGGTATCGGTGTAACGCTCATTCCTTCAACGATAAACGCGAATCCGACCATCACCCCTGGTGAGATAAAACCGTGACTCGTCAGTGAAGAGCACTTTTTGCCAGTCCTGTCTGGTCCAGCGACGGTGGGTTTGTGCCCATAGGCGACGTTGTTGCCGGTGATGTCTGGTGAGGACCTGCCTTACAACAGGCCTACAAGCCGTCAGTCCAGCCTCTCTCAGCCTATTGCGGACAGTCTGAGCACTGATGGGGGGATTGCGCGTTCCTGGTGTAACTCGGGCAGTTGTTGTTGCCATCCAGTACCTGTCCCGCAGGTGTGATGTTCAGATGTACTGATCCTGTGCAGGTGTTGTTACACATGGTCTGCCACTGCGAGGACGATCAGCTGTCCGTCCTGTCTCCCTGTAGCGCTGTCTTAGGCGTCTCACAGTATGGACTTTACAATTTATTGCCCTGGCCACATCTTCAGTCCTCATTCCTCCTTGCAGCATGCCTAAGGCACGTTCACGCAGATGAGCAGGGACCCTGGGCATCTTTCTTTTAGTGTTTTTCAGAGTCAGTAGAAAGGCCTCTTTAGTGTCCTAAGTTTTCATAACTGTGACCTTAATTGCCTACCGTCTGTAAGCTGTTAGTGTCTTAACAACCGTTCCACAGGTGCATGTTCATTAAATTGTTTATGGCTCATTGAACAAGCATGGAAAACAGTGTTTAAACCCTTTACAATGAAGATCTGTGAAGTTATTTGGATTTTTACTAATTATCTTTGAAAGGCAGGGTCCTGAAAAAGGGACGTTTCTTTTTTTGCTAGTTTATTTTTATTTTATTTTTTTATTTCACCTTTATTTAACCAGGTAAACCAGTTGAGAACAAGTTCTCATTTACAACTGCGACCTGGCCAAGATAAAGTAAAGCAGTGCGATAAAAACAACAACACAGAGTTACATATGGGGTAAAACAAAACAAAGTAAAAAAAAAATACAACAGAAATACATATATATACAGTGTGTGCAAATTTAGCAAGTTATGGAGGTAAGGCAATAAAATAGGCTATAGTGCAAAATAATTACAATTAGTATTAACACTGGAATGATAGATGTGCAAGAGATGATGTGCAAATAGAGATACTGGGGTACAAATGAGCAAAATAAATAACAATATAGGGATGAGGTAGTTGGGCGGGCTAATTTCAGATGGGCTGTGTACAGGTGCAGTGATCGGTAAGGTGCTCTGACAACTGATGCTTAAAGTTAGTGAGGGAGATAAGTGTCTCCAGCTTCAGAGATTTTTGCAATTTGTTCCAGTCATTGGCAGCAGAGAACTGGAAGGAATTGCGGCCAAAGGAGGTGTTGGCTTTGGGGATGACCAGTGAGATATACCCGCTGGAGCGCAGACTACGGGTGGGTGTTGCTATGGTGACCAATGAGCTAAGATAAGGCGGGGATTTGCCTAGCAGTGATTTATAGATGGCCTGGAGCCAGTGGGTTTGGCGACGAATATGTAGTGAGGACCAGCCAACAAGAGCGTACAGGTCACAGTGGTGGGTATTATATGGGGCTTTGGAGACAAAACGGATGGCACTGTGATAGACTACATCCAATTTGCTGAGTAGAGTGTTGGAGGCTATTTTGTAAATGACATCGCCGAAGTCAAGGATCGGTAGGATAGTCAGTTTTACGAGGGCATGTTTGGCAGCATGAGTGAAGGAGGCTTTGTTGCGAAATAGGAAACCGATTCTAGATTTAACTTTGGATTGGAGATTCTTAATGCGAGTCTGGAAGGAGAGTTTACAGTCTAACCAGACACCTAGATATTTGTAGTTGTCCACATACTCTAGGTCAGACCCGTCGAGTGTAGTGATTCTAGTCGGGTGGGCGGGTGCAAGCAGCGTTCGGTTGAAGAGCATGCATTTAGTTTTACTAGTGTTTAAGAGCAGTTGGAGGCTACTGAAGGAGTGTTGTATGGAATTGAAGCTCGTTTGGAGGTTTGTTAACACAGTGTCCAATGAAGGGCCAGATGTATACAAAATGGTGTCGTCTGCGTAGAGGTGGATCTGAGAGTCACCAGCAGCAAGAGCGAAGTCATTGATATACACAGAGAAAAGAGTCGGCCCAAGAATTGAACCCTGTGGCACCCCCATAGAGACTGCCATAGGTCCAGACAACAGGCCCTCCGATTTGACACATTGAACTCTATCTGAGAAGTAGTTGGTGAACCAGGAGAGGCAGTCATTTGAGAAACCAAGGCTATTTAGTCTGCCAATAAGAATGCGGTGGTTGACAGAGTCGAAAGCCTTGGCCAGGTCGATGAAAACGGCTGCACAGTACTGTCTATTATCGATCGCGGTTATAATATCGTTTAGGACCTTGAGCGTGGCTGAAGTGCACCCATGACCAGCTCGGAAACCGGATTGCATAGCGGAGAAGGTACGGTGGGATTCGAAATGGTCGGTGATCTGTTTGTTGACTTGGCTTTCAAAAACTTTTGAAAGGCAGGGCAGGATGGATATGGGTCTGTAACAGTTTGGATCTAGAGTGTCACCCCCTTTGAAGAGGGGGATGACCGCGGCAGCTTTCCAATCTCTGGGGATCTCAGACGTTACGAAAGAGAGGTTGAACAGGCTAGTAATAGGGGTTGCGACAATTTCGGCGGCTAGTTTTAGAAAGAAAGGGTCCAGATTGTCTAGCCCAGATGATTTGTAGGGGTCCAGATTTTGCAGCTCTTTCAGAACATCAGCTGTCTGGATTTGTGTGAAGGAGAAGCGGGGGGGGCATGGGCAAGTTGCAGCGGAGGGTGCAGAGCAGGTGGCCGGGGTAGTGGTAGCCAGGTGGAAAGCATGGCCAGCCGTAGCAAAATGCTTGTTGAAATTCTCGATTATTGTAGATTTATCGGTGGTGATAGTGTTTCCTAGCCTCAGTGCAGTGGGCAGCTGGGAGGAAGTGCTCTTATTTTCCATGGACTTTACAGTGTCCCAAAACTTTTTGGAGTTAGTGCTACAGGATGCAAATTTCTGTTTGAAAAAGTTAGCCTTTGCTTTCCTAACTGCTTGTGTATATTGGTTCCTAACTTCCCTACAGTTCTCTCAATGAATTACTTACCTTATACAACATTTTTTACATTTTTTTTTATACAACACTATGTTGGCACATTTAGCAAGTCAGAGAGCTTAAGGATGTGCTCTGGTCAAAAGTAGTACACTATTTTGGGAATAGGGTGCCAAATTGGACATTCCCCCAAAAGAGCAAGACAAACAGAACTGCTGCCCCAGATATTCTCACCAGACAGAACATGATTATGTATGCAGAAAACACTGCTCTAATGCATACTGCTCTGAGGTGAGGTCAAAAATGTAAGATTTAGGTGAAGAATTTATCAGGATGGACAGATAGGAGACACTGCTGAAATACAGTGTGTGTGTGTGTGTTTGTTTCCAAACTATTGAACAGCAGTAAATAATGCTGATTTTTCCATTAAGCTAAAATCCACATTACTGAAACATTGATTTTATGACAGTGCTGACACAATAGGCCTTTACAGCACTCAGTCAGCCCACCTTGACGGCCACCCCGCGGGTCTCTGGAAACTCCAGTAGATGATAGCTGAGCTCCTCCACTCTGTTGATGTAGACCCTGACATCAGACGCTCTGTGTAACGCCTTGACCAAGGCCCGCGTCCGGTTGTCTACACTCACCCTAGCTATGATCTAGGAACAGATCACAGACAGACAGGTTAGACACTTTCCCAGTCACCACAAAAATGAGTAGTCTGGCTTATCTAATACCGAATGTATTATTGAGTTATTGACATCATGGCTAAATCAAGCAGACACAATCTACCTACATTTACACTGTACATGTATTTAGGGGTGCTTACACTGAAATAACTGGTCTGTAAGCCTGAAAGAGTTATTTTATAAGAAGAACCATAAACCCTCTATATTGCTAGAAGGTTAAGAGGATTTCTTCTACCACAGGAGGTCGCTGGCACCTTAAGTGGGGAGGACTGGCTCGTGGTAATAGCAGGAGTGGAATAGGTGGAATGGTATCAAATACATTAAACAAATGTTTCCATTTTTGCTTCCGCATTGTCTCCGTGCTGCTGTGCTGTTTGTTGCTACTTGGCTACCTGCCAAACTATTCACGTTTTACTTTTAATAAACGTTTAATCAATCTCTGTGTTCAACAAATTTACCAACTTTTTAGTTTTGTCCTCACTCATCTTTTTTTGTTAAACTTTTTCACCCCGGACGTTTTATCCCGAGACAGAAGAGTCATTTTCCTGTGCGTTTTTGCTGCCAACTTTACTTTATTTTCCTTTTTTCCATCGCAACTTTTTTCCCTCATTCAACTTTTCACTCCGGACGCTTTATCTGGACATGGTTCGTCAACATCTTCAACAGCCGAAGCTAAGTAGTAACATTAACATGATGTCTTCTAATTGCAGTCGCTGTACTCATAATATACAGGAGAACGATCGCCTTACGGCGAGAATAGCTGTGCTACAAGCCCAGCTTCAGACGCAATCGTTAGGCAAGGGTAATTTCAGTGTAGGAAAGGAAGAAACAGCGTCTGTGCCACCAGTAAGTACAGATAGTAACGTTAGTATAAATCCCCCCGCACAGTCCCCGCAGCCGGACAACTTTCTCATGGCTTCTGGAGGGAAATACTGTTGGAATGCTCAACCGGTGTCGCTCATTCAGCCGACAGAAACTTTCAACCGGTTTTCCCCATTATGTAGCGAGTCGGAGTCTGAGTCTGAGTCTTCTCTTGTCTCTACTCCTCCCGTTACGGGGTCTGAGACGCCGAAGGCTCCCACCATTAGCTCTGACAAATTGAAAACCCTAGTCATTGGCGACTCCATTACCCGCAGTATTAGACTTAAAACGAATCACCCAGCGATCATACACTGTTTACCAGGGGGCAGGGCTACCGACGTTAAGGCTAATCTAAAGATGGTGCTGGCTAAAGCTAAAACTGGCGAGTGTAGAGAGTATAGAGATATTGTTATCCACGTCGGCACCAACGATGTTAGGATGAAACAGTCAGAGGTCACCAAGTGCAACATAGCTTCAGCGTGTAAATCAGCTAGAAAGATGTGTCGGCATCGAGTAATTGTCTCTGGCCCCCTCCCAGTTAGGGGGAGTGACGAGCTCTACAGCAGAGTCTCAGCACTCAATCGCTGGTTGAAAACTGTTTTCTGCCCCTCCCAAAAGATAGAATTTGTAGATAATTGGCCCTCTTTCTGGGACTCACCCACAAACAGGACCAAGCCTGACCTGCTGAGGAGTGACGGACTCCATCCTAGCTGGAGGGGTGCTCTCATCTTATCTACCAACATAGATAGGGCTCTAACTCCTCTAGCCCCACAGTGAAATAGGGTGCAGGCCAGGCAGCAGGCTGTTAGCCAACCTGCCAGCTTAGTGGAGTCTGCCAATAGCACAGTCAGTGTAGTCAGCTCAGCCATACCCATTGAGACTGTGTCTGTGCCTCGACCTAGGTTGGGCAAAACTAAACATGGCGGTGTTCGCCCTAGCAATCTTATTAGGATAAAGACCTCCTCCATTCCTGCCATTATTGAAAGAGATCGTGATACCTCACATCTCAAAATAGGGTTACTTAATGTTAGATCCCTCACTTCAAAGGCAGTCATAGTCAATGAACTAATCACTGATCATAATCTTGATGTGATTGGCCTGACTGAAACATGGCTTAAGCCTGATGAATTTGCTGTGTTAAATGAGGCCTCACCTCCTGGTTACACTAGTGACCATATTCCCCGTGCATCCCGCAAAGGCGGAGGTGTTGCTAACATTTACGATAGCAAATTTCAATTTACAAAAAAAAAAAATGGCGTTTTCGTCTTTTGAGCTTCTAGTCATGAAATCTATGCAGCCTACTCAATCACTTTTTATAGCTACTGTTTACAGGCCTCCTGGGCCATATACAGCGTTCCTCTCTGAGTTTCCTGAATTCCTATCAGACCTTGTAGTCATAGCAGATCATATTCTAATTTTTGGTGATTTTAATATTCACATGGAGAAGTCCACAGACCCACTCCAAAAGTCTTTCGGAGCCATCATCGACTCAGTGGGTTTTGTCCAACATGTCTCTGGACCTACTCACTGCCACAGTCATACTCTGGACCTAGTTTTGTCCCATGGAATAAATGTTGTAGATCTTAATGTTTTTCCACAAAATCCTGGACTATCGGACCACCATTTTATTACGTTTGCAATCGCAACAAATAATCTGCTCAGACCCCAACCAAGGAGCATCAAAAGTCGTGCTATAAATTCTCAGACAACACAAAAATTCCTTGATGCCCTTCCAGACTCCTTCTGCCTACCCAAGGACGTCAGAGGACAAAAATCAGTTAACCACTTAACTGAGGAACTCAATTTAACCTTGCGCAATACCCTAGATGCAGTTGCACCCCTAAAAACGAAAAACATTTGTCATAAGAAACTAGCTCCCTGGTATACAGAAAATACCCGAGCTTTGAAGCAAGCTTCCAGGAAATTGGAACGGAAATGGCGCCACACCAAACTGGAAGTCTTCCGACTAGCTTGGAAAAACAGTACCGTGCAGTACCGAAGAGCCCTCACTGCTGCTCGATCATCCTACTTTTCCAACTTAATCGAGGAAAATAAGAACAATCCAAAATTTCTTTTTGATACTGTTGCAAAGCTAACTAAAAAGCAGCATTCCCCAAGAGAGGATGGCTTTCACTTCAGCAGTAATAAATTCATGAACTTCTTTGAGGAAAAGATCATGACCATTAGAAAGCAAATTACGGACTCCTCTTTGAATCTGCGTATTCCTCCAGGGCTTAGCTGTCCTGGATCTGCACAGCTCTGCGAGGGCCTGGGATCGGGAGTGACACTTAAGTGTTTTAGTACTATATCTCTTGACACAATGATGAAAATAATCATGGCCTCTACACCTTCAAGCTGCATACTGGATCCTATTCCTACTAAACTGCTGAAGGAGCTGCTTCCTGTGCTTGGCCCTCCTATGTTGAACATAATAAACAGCTCTCTATCCACCGGATGTGTACCAAACTCACTAAAAGTGGCAGTGATAAAGCCTCTCTTGAAAAAGCCAAACCTTGACCCGGAAAATATAAAAAACTATCGGCCTATATCGAATCTTCCATTCCTCTCAAAATTTTTAGAAAAAGCTGTTGCGCAGCAACTCACTGCCTTTCTGAAGACAAACAATGTATACGAAATGCTTCAGTCTGGTTTTAGACCCCATCATAGCACTGAGACTGCACTTGTGAAGGTGGTAAATGACCTTTTAATGGCGTCAGACCGAGGCTCTGCATCTGTCCTCGTGCTACTAGACCTTAGTGCTGCCTTTGACACCATCGATCACCACATTCTTTTGGAGAGACTGGAAACCCAAATTGGTCTACACGGACAAGTTCTGGCCTGGTTTAGATCTTACCTGTCGGAAAGATATCAGTTTGTCTCTGTGAATGGTCTGTCCTCCGACAAATCAACTGTACATTTCGGTGTTCCTCAAGGTTCCGTTTTAGGACCACTATTGTTTTCACTATATATTTTACCTCTTGGGGATGTTATTCGAAAACATAATGTTAACTTTCACTGCTATGCGGATGACACACAGCTGTACATTTCAATGAAACATGGTGAAGCCCCAAAATTGCCCTCGCTAGAAGCCTGTGTTTCAGACATAAGGAAGTGGATGGCTGAAAACTTTCTACTTTTAAACTCGGACAAAACAGAGATGCTTGTTCTAGGTCCCAAGAAACAAAGAGATCTTCTGTTAAATCTGACAATTCATCTTGATGGTTGTAAAGTCGTCTCAAATAAAACTGTGAAGGACCTCGGCGTTACTCTTGACCCTGATCTCTCTTTTGACGAACATATCAAGACTGTTTCAAGGACAGCTTTTTTCCATCTACGTAACATTGCAAAAATCAGAAATTTTCTGTCCAAAAATGATGCAGAAAAATTAATCCATGCATTTGTTACTTCTAGGTTAGACTACTGCAATGCTCTACTTTCCGGCTACCCGGATAAAGCACTAAATAAACTTCAGTTAGTGCTAAATACGGCTGCTAGAATCCTGACTAGAACCAAGAAATTTGATCATATTACTCCAGTGCTAGCTTCCCTACACTGGCTTCCTGTTAAGGCCAGGGCTGATTTCAAGGTTTTACTGTTAACCTATAAAGCGTTACATGGGCTTGCTCCTACCTATCTTTCCGAGTTGGTCCTGCCGTACATACCAATACGTACGCTACGGTCACAAGACGCAGGCCTCCTAATTGTCCCTAGAATTTCTAAGCAAACAGCGGGAGGCAGGGCTTTCTCCTATAGATCTCCATTTTTATGGAACAGTCTGCCTACCCATGTGAGAGACGCAGACTCGGTCTCAACCTTTAAGTCTTTACTGAAGACTTATCTCTTCAGTAGGTCATATGATTGAGTGTAGTCTGGCCCAGGAGTGTGAAGGTGAACGGAAAGGCTCTGGAGCAACGAACAGCCCTTGCCGTCTCTGCCAGGCCGGTTCCCCTCTCTCCACTGGGGTTCTCTGCCTCTAACCCTGTTACAGGGGCTGAGTCACTGGCTTGCTGGTGCTCTTTCATGCCGTCCCTAGGAGGGGTGCGTCACTTGAGTGGGTTGAGTTACTGACGTGATCTTCCTGTCTGGGTTGGCGCCCCCCCTTGGTTTGTGCTGTGGTGGAGACCTCTGTGGGCTATACTCTGCCTTGTCTCAGGATTGTAAGTTGGTGGTTGAGGATATCCCTCTAGTGGTGCGGGGGCTGTGCTTTGGCAGAGTGGGTGGGGTTATATCCTTCCTGTTTGGCCCTGTCCGGGGGTTTCTTCGGATGGGGCCACAGTGTCTCCGGACCGCTCCTGTCTCAGCCTCCAGTATTTATGCTGCAGTAGTTTATGTGTCGGGGGGCTGGGGTAGTTGGTTATACCTGGAGTACTTCTCCTGTCTTATCCAGTGTCCTGTGTGAATTTAAGTATGCTCTCTCTAATTCTCTCGTTCTCTCTTTCTCTCTGAGAACCTGAGCCCTAGGACCATACGTCAGGACTACCGGGCATGCTGACACCTTGCTGTCCCCAGTCCGCCTGGCCTTGCTGCTATTCCAGTTTCAACTGTTCTGCCTGCGGTTACGAAACCCCTACCTGTCCCAGACCTGCTGTTTTCAACTCTTAATGATCGGCTATGAAAAGCCAACTGAGAGACCTGAGCCCTAGGACCATACGTCGGGACTACCGGCCGTGGTGACTCCTTGCTGTCCCCAGTCCGCCTGGCCTTGCTGCTATTCCAGTTTCAACTGTTCTGCCTGCGGTTATGGAACCCCTACCTGTCCCAGACCTGCTGTTTTCAACTCTTAATGATCGGCTATGAAAAGCCAACTGAGATTTATTCCTGATTATTATTTGACCATGCTTGTCACTTATGAACATTTTTGAACATCTTGACATGGTTCTGTTATAATCTCCACCCGGCACAGCCAGAAGAGGACTGGCCACCCCTCATAGCCTGGTTCCTCTCTAGGTTTCTTCCTAGGTTTTGGCCTTTCTAGGGAGTTTTTCCTAGCCACCGTGCTTCTACACCTGCATTACTAGCTGTTTGGGGTTTTAGGCTGGGTTTCTGTACAGCACTTCGAGATATTAGCTGATGTACGAAGGGCTATATAAAATAAAATTGATTGATTGATTGATTGATGCCATTCCATTTGCTCCTTTCCAGACATTATTATGAGCCGTCCTCCCCTCAGCAGCCTCCACTGATGCCTACATGACATACTTGTATATGGAGGGTATAGCCTATGGTGGAACATTACCAGGACTGATATGTCCCACCAGTTGTGACTCCCAACGTATGATGTGACAGTGGCACGATGTGCTAGATACAGGGTTCCTAGAATCCCTCTTCAAAAATAACCCTGTGTGTGAGCCTTCTGGAATTGCCAGCCTAGTAAACAGGTGTTCGTTGCCTGTGTATGTTGTTGTATTGATATGAAAACAGGCCACAATAGTGACAAAAAACTAGTTCTTGACAAAAAACGGTGTGCCTGGCACCTACTACCATACCCCATTCAAAGGCACTTAACATATTTTGTCTTGCCCATTCACCCTCTAAATGGCACACATACACAATACATGTCTCAAGGCTTAAAAAATCCTTCCTTGACCTGTCTCCTCCCCTTCATCTACACTGATTGAAGTAGATTTAACAAGTGACATCAATAAGGGATCAGTCTGTCATGCTTCAACAGGTTACATTCCTTTTCAACATGATTCCAAACAAACAGTCACACTATAATGTAGGCCTACCTTCTCTCTTTGGAGCAGCAGTCTCTTGGCTCTCTCCTCTGCCGCCTTCTGTTCCATATTTACCGCCACCTCTCCTTGCCATGGCTTTTCCCCTGCCTCTTCTGCCTTCAGCCTCTCTTGCTCTACAGCAGCACTCTTGGGTTCAGCAGCTGCCCTACTAAACCTGGGGACCAGGGGAGCAATGTAGCTCCCTACAAAGGCCTGTACCGTGTCACCAGAGTAGGACAGGTAATGGCCGATACCCTTTTTAGAAGATGGGACACTTAAGGGTGTAGCAGCAGTAGCAGACCCTGGGGCCGTTTTGTCCGACATCGGCAGGAGGTCAGTGGAACCACGGTCTGTGTTATGTGCTTTCTTCTCATCGGCATTTGTTATGCTGCTGAAGTAGGAGTTGACGTGGTGGGACAGGTAGTTGTATGTCTCATCCAGGTTAACAGAGAAGGAGCTGGGATGGAAGAGTTGTGTTGCTGTCTGTTTGGAGACCGTGGTGGTGGCTCTCTCAGGTGCACTACTCTCTGGTGGTGGTGGTGATTTGACCTGCTTCACCCTTTTGGTGGTCCCGTTAATGGCCACAGTGGTTGGGACAGTGGATGCTGTGGCTGCACGCTGCACCCTCCTCTGTCTGACTTCCTGGACACTGGGGCCTGAGACAGCAGCATTTGCCCTGGCAATGTTGGAGCGAGGGGGAGAAATAGGAGGGGCGCTGGTGGTAATGCCAGGAGTAGGGCCAGGTGTAGGAGATGGAGTAGGTGTGGGTGTTGGAGATGGAGTAGGTGTAAATGTAGGAGATGGAGTAGGTGTAAATGTAGGAGATGGAGTAGGTGTAAATGTAGGAGATGGAGTAGGTGTAAATGTAGGAGATGGAGTAGGTGTGGGTATAGAAGTAGTGGCTGTAGTAGGTGGAGGACTACGGGCAGACACTGAGGCAGCGATTGGAGAAGGTGTAGTAGAATTAGCAGTGGTGTTAGCGGAGGTATAGGCTGGGGCTGGAGCTAGGGAAGGGTACGCTGCAGTACCCTGACCCTGGGGTGTTAGGCCCATCTCCGGGCTGGCTTCCACCACTTTCCCTGACTCAATGGCATTCTGTTTGGGTTTGGATTTGGATTTGAGCCGTGCTATCTTGGAGAGGAGCTCTGTGTGTGACCCGCTCACCGCCTTGGAGACTGAGTCCAGGGTGCTCCTGAAGCGCGACATGGTGTGGCTGAGACCAGTGGACCAGCGCGAGGTGGAGGCATTTAAGTAGTAGGCGCTGGTGTGGAGTCCAAGCCTGTGTCTCAACTGGCTAGCTCTGCAGAGCCATAGCTTATTGCGACTTCTACTCTTCGGGCTGTGGGTATACTTCCAGCTGAGATAGCCAACTTTGTGGCTAAGGTCTGGTCGGACATCGAACCTACAAGAAGGGTAACGCAGAGAAGACAATGGAAGTGATGCTGCTCGTTGACCTTGTGTATGCCAGAAGTTCACCGCTCTGCTTACTTTGAGCACACAAGAATCTGGAACCCATCTAAGAGACATCCCTCTTGGTCTTGGAAGACAGCTTTCATTTGTTTATTCCTTCATGAAGCTGGTGAACAATAAAAAAAACATTACTAACAACATACTAAGAGGTACTATGTAGTATCATCACATTGGAGATTTATGTAACTATCTGGTAAGTCCAGCTCTGGGCTAGGCGGCTGTTATCTTGATAGCCTACTAGTGGCGCTAGCATGTGGATTACATCACTGCAAATGAACCCAATGACCAATGATGTGTGCTAGTTAGCCACGGCCAGCCGCAGTTCAGTCACAGCTAATAATTAGCCACGTTATGTTATATCACCATGTTACAGATGTGTTATCCCATTGGAATACAATCATATTATTTATACCACGTGTCGATTAAAGCTGGGGAAGTAGGCCATGTATGAATGAACGTTCGCTAGCTAACAACAACAGCTAGTTAGCTAGAACTGCTAGCTACCAGTATTCCAGAAACAGCCGCTAAACGGATAATTAGCTACATTTAACAGTTTAGCCAGGCTATGATAACATACCAGTGTCCTGTTGACGGTTTCGTGAAATCTGAAGAATTCCTTGACTCGTAACAGAGAGATCAAACGAGCATGTAAACACGATTCACAACAAGCTTCTTGTTATGTGTTGCGGCCCATTCGACGTGACAGTTTATCTCCACGGCCCAAAAAAAACAGACAAAAAGCAGAGGAAAACAATGATCACGTGGTCTTTGATCTGACCTACAATTGGCTGTTAATCACTTGCCACTATCAGCCCACTGAGGGAATTCGATTAATGCACCGGATGAACCGGGTTAGCGTTGATTGCATTCGATTTGGAACCGTAGAGCCAGGAGTCTATTATATTGACAAGATAGTCTGACTGCGCTAACAAATGGGTGGATTCGATTATGCTGAGCTGCGGGGCACTGGTCTATGGACCGTGACGAGACCGGGCAACAGCGGAGAGGGAGGAGCGCCCTTCTCAAATCAAACAGTAATCTGCGCTGCTCGGGCATGTTGTAAACAAAGCAGCATGGTGCATCATCCAGAAACATACATCTCTTTTTTATACATATATATATATTAGATTATTTTTTTTCTAACTAGTTTTTATTGGGAAGGCAGATAAAGCGTTTTATCAAAGCAATCACTTTTGCATATGAAAACACAGAATCCTACTCATTACTCCACGTGCTTAATTATGTCACTTGTTTTGAGCAGACTTCGCCGTGGCCATTGAACGGGGCATCTGGCTCACGCCCGGGAGGCAGCCTGGTTCTAAAACTAATGCAATTAATTTTCACCCGGTGCAAAACACGCCCAGGCCAGATTAATAGAATCTCCTCAATGGAAATAACGTCCTCAAAGATGGAAGGCAGGCGGGAGGAGGAGGATCAGGTGGGACCATTCTAGCCAATGAGAGGACAGATATGTGAATTAACAACACGTCATAGAGATACCAGTGTGTATAGAAACACGTGTGCCCTCCATCTTCTCTGTGTGTGTGTGTGTGTGTGTGTGTGTGTGTGTGTGTGTGTGTGTGTGTGTGTGTGTGTGTGTGTGTGTGTGTGTGTGTGTGTGTGTGTGTGTGCGCGTGCGTGCGTGCGTGCGTGCGTGTGTGTGTGTCAGGTTGTTCCCTACCTCCCACACCTTTGTCCAGCCTGCTACCCCCCCCACCCCCTCTCATCTTTGTGTCTCTCGCTAGTTTGTAGTCCTAAACCCTGGAAATAAGTTTCCTCTAGTTCATTCAGCCATCCCTATGGGAAAAATGAATGGGCAAAGAATACGTTTTTGGAAAAGAGCATCACAGTGGAGATATCATAATACCCATAAAACCTAGTGGTCAAACAGGAAAATGGTTCCAATCGTTTTTCCACCATATATTTTTCCCATAGAGAATTTTAGAAACACTTAAAATAAGGTCTGTGTTTCATGTAGGCTTACCCTGGCATAACATTTTGATAACCATGTAAATCTCTCTCGGACAAGGTCACGTTTATCAATATATTTGGCTCTATTTACTCTCAGATTCGAAAATGCTAATTAGCATCAAAGTAGACATCATGCAAGACTACAAATCCCTGCAAGCTCCTGCACGTCATCTCTAGCTGACACCTTTGCTAACAGGTATTGTATCAATTTAAAACTTGCACAAGACAGTTCACAGAATTGTCAATTTAAAGAAATGTAGCCAATTTATTCATTACAAAATGTAACTAACATTAGATAGTTAATCCAGAGTCTTACCTTTGCCTCGATTCGGCAATTTCGTCCAGATCATCCTGGCATTTGTAGTTCTTTATGATAACCACATTAGCAGCTAATTAGCTTTTCATTTTGGGGGGGACATACAGGCGAATAAATATATTGATAAAAGTTACCTTGTCCTAGATAGATTTACAAGGTTATCAAACGTGACGCCAGGGTAAGCCTACACGAAACACAGCCCTTATTTTAAGTGTTTCTAAAATCCCCTATGGGCAAAATGAATGGTGGAAAAACGATTGGAACCATTTCCTTGTTTGACCGCTAGGTTTTATGGGTATTATGACTCATACTGTGGTACTCTATAAACGCAGAAAATAAGGTCTGAGGTTAACACAGGCCAAAAACGCCATTCATTTTCCTCATAGTCTTTGTCCAACAAACAATGCCGGAGTTAGTGTCTACAAAAAGACGCCATTACTATTTCTCTCTATTATAGCCTCTGCCCAGTCCCCAACAACCCAACATTCCGGTTTTGAGGGGAAATGGAAAGAGAACCTGTGACGCGACTTCCACTTTTGAATGTTAACATGGCGGCACGCCATCTTAACTTCTCCTCCACATTTACTGGATTGGTTGAACAGTGCAGTAGAGAACCTCTCCTGACAGTTTTTTTTATTCTCGTCAAGACCAGTATGTAGGGGATCTAGTTTCAGGCATTTATTTATGCCTGCTACGTTAGATTAGTGCAATTAGTGCGTTCAACACCATAGTGCCCTCAAAGTTCATCACTAAGCTAAGGATCCTGGGACTAAACACCGTCCTCTGCAACTGGATCCTGGACTTCCTGACGGGCCGCCCCCAGGTGGTAAGGGTAGGTAACAACACATCTGCCACAATGATCCTCAACACGGGGGCCCCTCAGGGGTGCGTGCTCAGTCGCCTCCTGTACTCCCTGTTCATCCATGACTGCATGGCCAGGCACGACTTCAACACCATCATTAAGTTTGCCGACGACACAACAGTGGTAGGCCTGATCACTGACAACCATGAGACAGCCTATAGGGAGGAGGTCAGAGACCTGGCCGTGTGGTGCCAGGATAACAACCTCTCCCTCAACGTGATCAAGACAAAGGAGATGATTGTGGACTACAGGAAAAAGAGGACCGAGCACGCCCCCATTCTCATTGACAGGGCTGTAGTGGAGCAGGTTGCGAGCTTCAAGTTCCTTGGTGTCCACATCACCAACAAACTATCATGGTCCAAACACACCAAGACAGTCGTGAAGAGGGCACGACAAAGCCTATTCCCCCTCAGGACACTGAAAAGATTTGGCATGGGTCCTCAGATCCTCAAAAAGTTATACAGATGCACCATCGAGAGCATCCTGACTGGTTGCATCACTGCCTGGTATGGCAACTGCTCGGCCTCCGACCGCAAGGCACTACAGAGGGTAGTGCATTCGGCCCAGTACATCACTGGGGCCAAGCTTCCTGCCATCCAGGACCTCTATACCAGGCCATGTCAGAGGAAGGCCCTAAAAATGGTCAAAGTCATAGACTGTTCTCTTACGCTGCTGCTACTCTCTGTTTATTATCTATGCATAATCACTTTAACTCTACCTACATGTACATATTACCTAAATTACCTCGACTAACCTGTGCCCTCGCACATTGACTCTGTACCGGTACCCCCTGTATATAGCCTCGCTACTGTTATTTTACTGCTGCTCTTTAATTATTTTTATTTTTTATTTTATCTATTTTTTATTAACACTTATTTTTCTTAAATCTGCATTGTTGGTTAAGGGCTTGTAAGTAAGCATTTCACTGTAAGGTCTACACCTGTTGTATTCGGCGCATGTGACAAGTAACATTAGATTTGATTTGATTTATAGTTTCTGGGACAGCGTTGGCAGCGCCATTGAGGCTATCTCCATTTTAAAGTAGTCAATTTTCTTCTTCTTCATTTGGATGATTGCTTCCAACGCATAGGAATCCCCACCCAGTTGACTACTGTAAAATTGTGGAAGCCCTAAATGGCAATGTCCATGCTCAACTAGTTTTATTCAAAGTTGCCGAAATGCCACTTATATCAGTGCATTCATAACAACCTATCAAATCATTAATACATGTATATTTGATCAAATAAGCCTCACGTAGCAAATTATCCATTACATCCCAGGCGGTGTCACAACCGGCCATGACGGTGAGTCCCATAGGCCCAGCGTCGTCCGGGTTAGTCGAGGGTTTGGCCGGGAGGGGCTTTACTTGGCTCATCGCGCTCTAGTGACTCCTTGTGGCGGGCTGGGCACCTGCAGGCTGACTTTGATCGTCAGTTGAACAGTGTTTCCTCTGACACATTGGTGCAGCTGGCTTCCAGGTTAAGCGGGCGGGTGTTAAGAAGAGTGGTTTGACAGGTCATGTTTCGGAGGACGCATGACTCGACCTTCGCCTCTCCCAAGCCTGTTGGGGAGTTTCAGCGATGAGACTGGATCGCAATTGGATATCACGAAATTGGGGAGAAAAAAGGGGGTAAAACACAAAAAGAATTATAAATAAATCAAAATAAATATATATGGAATGCCATATCTGGCCAAACAGAGTCATCAGAGAAAGTAGAGGAAATATAAACTGGTGGAGGGGACAGAAGAAGAAGAAGGGTTATTTGGCATCAGCTACGTGTGATTCTTTTTAATGGCGAGCATGGAGAGGCCATAGATAGCCAGACTAGTAATTTGGGCTAAGGAACAGAAGTTGGGTATTGGAGACAATACAGTAGATGAAGGCGCGGCAGGAGCGTGGTGAACGGATTGACATGGTTACGGACAGCGAGGAAGAAGAAGAAGACCGATGCAGAGGGAAGATGTGTATTGAGGAAGAATGGCGCCAAGTACAAACCGTACTCTGCTGTCTCTGATAGCTCAGAAATGTAACCTGACGAGAGAGTAAGGATAAATGACCTGCAGTGGCAGGTATGGTGAAGACCTCAGAGTCAGAGCTTCGCCCTGATGGTCATGCAAAGGATGATTCTGGCCTAGTGGGAGTAAGATTTTTGGAGAAATTGGATCCCTGCCTTTTGGCTGGCCCGTATGTAGTCTCAGGCTGGGTAGAAAATGTGGGTACTGTTAAATCGGTGAAGGTAGCTCGAAGTGGACTTGTGATGATTTTCTGTGTTTCTTCTACCCAGAGCGAGCGAGCGCGCGCTCCACCTCACGCGCCTTGGGACAAGACCTTTGACTTGCTTTGCTCTCTGGAGCAGGGTGCCTTTGAATGTAGTGATTACTGGGGTGTTTTTAAGTGTTGAGGTGGAGCAACTGAAATTCAATATTCCATGTGTCTGTGACGCCCGCCGTTTGGTGCGACGCAGACCAGGTGGCGAGCGTGGTGAAACTGAGAAGACAGTCTGTCCTTTTTAGTTCTGAAGCAGTCTTTACCTGACACAGTCATGTTGGGATATGTCATTTATCCCGTGAGAGCATTTGTGCCAAACCCACTAAGGTGTTTCGGATGCCAAGCTTATGGTCATGTTGCAGCAGTGTGTAGGAGGGAGATTCTGAGATGTGAGAAGTTTGCAGGAGGGCATGGGACGATTTTTATTTATTTATTTATTTTATTTTACCTTTATTTAACTAGGCAAGTCAGTTAAGAACAAATTCTTATTTACAATGACGGCCTACACCGGCCAAACCCGGATGACCCTGGGCCAATTGTGCGGACGAAATAATGTGTAGTATCGGTGGAAAAAACTGTGTGGATCAATTGTGGGGGTGCCCATGTTGCTGGGAATCAGAAGTGTCCGGTGCGAAAGAGACAAGTTGAGATTGCCAGGGTCAGAGTAGAAGAGAGGTGTCGTATGCTGAGAAAGTGACGCAAGTAGAGCAGGGCTGCCCAACCCTCTTCCTGGAGATCTACTGTCCTGTAGGTTTTCAGTCCAACACTAATTTAGCATATCTGATTCAGCTAGTTAAGGTCTTGTTGAGCAGCTAATAAGTAGAATCAGGTGTGTTAAATTAGGGTTTGACTGAAAACCCACAGGACCGTAGATCTACAGGAAGAGGGTTGGGCAGCCCTGGAGTAGAGGATGATGGGTCAAGGATGAATAGTAGGCCTAGGCCAATACAGAGTGATACGAATTTATGCTTCAGTAAGATTGGCTTCTTAGCGTTCATTGCAATGGTTATCAACTGTACCGCAGAAATGGAACGTAAATCACAGATAATAGATCTTGTGGTGGCAGCAGCAGGGAAGTACTTGGGTGTATAATATTTTACTGCAGAAGAGTTACAAGGTGTGTTGAACGAAAGAGTCCCGTAGGATCAGTTAGGGTCAAAGTAGTGGGATGGGATAGTGGAGGGTTAGATGGTGGTGTGTAATAGTGGTATATAGGTGGAGTGTTAGATGGTGGTGTGTAATAGTGGTATATAGGTGGAGGGTTAGATGGTGGTGTGTAATAGTGGTATATAGGTGGAGTGTTAGATGGTGGTGTGTAATAGTGGTATATAGGTGGAGGGTTAGATGGTGGTGTGTAATAGTGGTATATAGATAGAGGGTTAGTTGGTGGTGCAATTTTTTAAAACCTTCTAAACTTTAGACCTGAGTTACCACACCCGGTATCAGGGATGGTTAACTCTGGAAATTCCTTTGGTCTCTATGGAGTTAGGCAAATCAGCTTTCAGTTTTCTTTTTCACCTTATTTGTGGAACAATCTTCAAAATGTCCATGTTTTGGGTTTTGCCCTAACACTCCACAGCTGATTCAAATGATCAAAGCTTGATTATTAGTTGATTATTTGAATCAGCTGTGTAGTGCTACTGCAAAAATCAAAACGTGCACCACTTGGGGTCCCAAGGACCAAGTTTGGGAAACCCTGCTCTAGGGCAATTCAGAAGGCTGATTGAGGACCTTATTACTGATGAATGTGTTTGTTTTTTATGACCATGTTTTTCTTTCTACTTGCATTTTGTATATATATTGATGTGTGTATTTTATGTTATTTATGTAATTCAGGGCTCATCTGTAAGAGACCTTGGTCTCAGTATAACTCCCTGATAAAATAAAGGTTAAATAAAATGTCTGAGTTTTATATCTGTGGTCATGTCGTCTTCAACAGAGTAAAAGAGGGATGCCGTTTACAGCGTCCATTTACACCAGTACATTCGAAACAAAAATTCGATCTGAGCCTCACGTAGCAAATTAGAAATGTATCTCCATAGAAAAACAAACCCGCTTCCACAACCTCTAGCTTTACTTTCCCGCGGAAAGTGAGGATGTAAGGGCGGAGTCAGAAATCACTTGGTAGCGAACTGCCCAATCGCATTGCGATTCGTGTGGTTTTCGTTCAGCGTGATGGAGCGTCAAAATAGAGCGACGCTAAAGCCGCTAGCTAACTGAAGTGATTCTTCGCAGTTCAGCAAAAAGGTAAGCAAAACTGTAATGTCGCAGCTATGTGTCCTCGCATAACTTCAATATTAGTGTCATTGAATTATTGGTTTTCGATTTACTGGGCAATCAAGCTTGCTAGCCATCAACATATAAACTAGCTAGCTAATTTAACCTCATCAGCGATGTCGTTTGTTGTGCAAGTGTCATTGGGATTAATGAAAAAGATACATGGAAAATATTGCTAACATCGTCTCAGTTCAGGTCAACTTACTTTTCTTAGTGAGTTCATACTTAACTCAACCGTGCTCAATTTGCCTGGCTGGCTCCATCAATACTGCTTACCGTTAGTCAAGATGACTGTGACTCACAGTGTTAGTGATGCAGATGATCAGTATCATTGCTCTCAACTCAAGGTACTGTTTAACTAAAGCTGCTATACTAGATATTGGGAACAGGGGGATCTTTATGTGTGAGATTATATTAATACTAGTAGACATTAACACCTTTTCAGCCCACTCCTTTGCTTAAAACACAAATGACACAGTGGTTGTCATTTTGTACATGTGTATGCTGTAGTGTAGCTTATCTCAACCATAGATTTATAGGCCTAGATCTGGGATCTCAACTGTTCTTCTACTCTCCCCATATCTACTTTACAGAAGTGACCAGCACCATGGCAACTGCACAGTCAGCCTTAACATTTGCAGTGTGCATCCTGATGATAACAGAGTTGATACTTGCCAAGAAGGACTACTATGACATACTGGGAGTGCGGAAAGATGCCAACGAGCGTCAGATAAAGAAGGCTTTTCACAAGCTGGCAATGAAGTATCACCCAGACAAGAACAAGAGGCCAGATGCTGAGACAAAGTTCAGAGAAATTGCTGAGGGTAAGTATAATAGGAAATTCCAGTTGAACAAAAGAGAAGTCAATCAAAAGTAATTTTGGTTTATTACAAGTTGCAACAGGGAGACACCTCCAGAGCAGAAGCAGACAAAATGTCTAACTGGCCTTCTCTGAGCAGGCCCTTATATCCTAATCAGAGTGCACAACATGTTCTGTAAACACCAGCCTCTTGGAGACATGTCCTTACAGTGAGGGGAAAAAAGTATTTGATCCCCCGCTGATTTTGTACGTTTGCCCACTGACAAAGAAATGATCAGTCTATAATTTTAATGGTAGGTTTATTTGAACAGTGAGAGACAGAATAACAACAACAAAATCCAGAAAAACACATGTCAAAAATGTTATAAATTGATTTGCATTTTAATGAGGGAAATAAGTAGTTGACCCCCTCTCAATCAAAAAGATTTCTGGCTCCCAGGTGTCTTTTATACAGGTAACGAGCTGAGATTAGGAGCACACTCTTAAAGGAAGTGCTCCTAATCTCAGCTTGTTACCTGTATAAAAGACAACAGTCCACAGAAGCAAGTCAATCAATCAGATTCTAAACTCTCCACCATGGCCAAGACCAAAGAGCTCTCCAAGGATGTCAGGGACAAGATTGTAGACCTACACAAGGCTGGAATGGGCTACAAGACCATCGCCAAGCAGCTTGGTGAGAAGGTGACAACAGTTGGTGCGATTATTCGCAAATGGAAGAAACACAAAATAACTGTCAATCTCCCTCGGCCTGGGGCTCCATGCAAGATCTCACCTCGTGGAGTTGCAATGATCATGAGAACGGTGAGGAATCAGCCCAGAACTACACGGGAGGATCTTGTCAATGATCTCAAGGCAGCTGGGACCATAGTCACCAAGAAAACAATTGGTAACACACAACGCCGTGAAGGACTGAAATCCTGCAGCGCCTGCAAGGTCCCCCTGCTCAAGAAAGCACATATACAGGGCCATCTGAAGTTTGCCAATGAACATCTGAATGATTCAGAGGAACATCTGAATGATTCAGAGGAGAACTGGGTGAAAGTGTTGTGGTCAGATGAGACCAAAATCGAGCTCTTTGGCATCAACTCAACTCGCCATGTTTGGAGGAGGAGGAATGCTGCCTATGACCCCAAGAACACCATCCCCACCGTCAAACATGGAGGTGGAAACATTATGCTTTGGGGGTGTTTTTCTGCTAAGGGGACAGGACAACTTCACTGCATCAAAGGGACGATGGACGGGGCCATGTACCGTCAAATCTTGGGTGAGACCCTCCTTCCCTCAGCCAGGGCATTAAAAATGGGTCGTGGATGGGTATTCCAACATGACAATGACCCAAAACACATGGCCAAGGCAACAAAGGAGTGGCTCAAGAAGAAGCACATTAAGGTCCTGGAGTGGCCTAGCCAGTCTCCAGACCTTAATCCCATAGAAAAACTGTGGAGGGAGCTGAAGGTTCGAGTTGCCAAACGTCAGCCTCGAAACCTTAATGACTTGGAGAAGATCTGCAAAGAGGAGTGGAACAAAATCCCTCCTGAGATGTGTGCAAACCTGGTGGCCAACTACAAGAAACGTCTGACCTCTGTGATTGCCAACAAGGGTTTTGCCACCAAGTACTAAGTCATGTTTTGCAGAGGGGTCAAATACTTATTTCCCTCATTTAAAATGCAAATCAATTTATAACATTGTTGACATGTGTTTTTCTGGATTGTTTTGTTGTTATTCTGTCTCTCACTGTTCAAATAAACCTACCATTCAAATGATAGACTGGTCATGTCTTTGTCAGTGGGCAAACGTACAAAATCAGCAGGGGATCAAATACTTTTTTCCCTCACTGTATATCCTAATCAGAGAGCACAACATGTTCTGTAAACACCAGCCCGAGATGCTTGTAGGAAGTCAAAACAAACAGGCAGTGACTTTGTCAGCTGCTACAGAATCACACAGTGTTCACAGAATGTCATCAATACAACCGCGAATAATCAGTATCCTCGTACCTCCAGTCTGGAGTCAATCACTATCAACAGATATGAGAGTAATCCATAACAACATTCAGCTTCAAGTCTTGTGACCATCAACCCGCACCTTGCGGGTAACACTGGAAATGATGTGCATTAAAGAAACTCCAAAATATGCTAAACATTGTGTTGATCACTCTAAACTAAATATGAACTTTGGTCATCTTAAATATTCCCATTTATAGTAAGGTTATTACTTCTTTACTCTTTAGTGTATTTTATTTATGTAAAAATGTCCATCTTCACACATTCCTTCCAGCGTGTTTATTTTATTGTGTTGTAGCTGAATTACCTCACTGTTGCGCAAAACTAGTGTTTTTAACACTGTACTGCTAATAGAATCATTGCTATGATCTGAAACCTTTTCTTGCACTTGTCATCTGCAGCATATGAAACATTATCAGACGAGAAGAGGAGACAGGAGTACGACCAGTTTGGTCACGGCACATTCTATAATGACGGAACCAAAGACCAAAACGGTCCAAACATCCACCAGCCCTTCAACTTCAACGACGTGTTCAAGGACTTTGATATTTACAGCCAGAACCGGCACACACATCACCAAAGGCACTTCGAGGACCACTTCCGGACCCACCAGGAGGCCCACCACAACAGACACAAGAGACACTTCCAGGGGGCCTTTGGAGCAGCAGGTGGTGGTGGCTTTGATGACATGTTTGACGACATGGAGAAGATGTTTACCTTTGACAGGGACACTACTAAGCGGACGGAGAGCACATTTCAGGGTACTACAACGAAGCAACACTGCAGAACAGTGACACAGCGCAGAGGGGAACATGGTCACCACGTACACTGACTGCTCTGGCTCCTGAGGACAGAGGTCTTGTCGGTATCCAGGTACCCTGGGTCGTGTTCATCAGGCACGAAACGGAAAAAAGCAGCCTGAAATGGGGGAGGTACTATCTGAACTTGTCCAATAAGAAAGGCTTGTTTTCCGTTGCATAACATTTTGAAATGTTTATCTATGTTGTGCCCTAATGAACATGACCCTGCCACAGCTTGCATATGGGTAGGCACCTGTGGTGGGTGGGAGCCAGCTGTTTTTGTTGCTGCTGTGACCTAAGTCTTGTTCATTGCTGTTTTGTTGAGTCAAAGTAGCTAATGAAAACACTTTTTAGCACACTCAGTTTGTAATTTTTTAACAATTAATTCAAGCACTGAAAAGCTTTTGAAGCATATCGCTCACAGTATAGTTAGGAATTTGAATGTTGTAGAGTAAAATATTGTTTAGGTAGTGTTAAGGAAGTCTAATATATATATGTGTACGTACCGTATATTTGGTAACCCCCTTAATATTTACATAGGCTTTTTGAGGAAAAGCTTTTCAGTTATTCATTATATAGTCCCTTGCAAACCTAAAGATGCAAGGGAACATAGTGTCAGTATTGTTGCCTTAAGCACATTCATTTGTCCATGAGAAAAAAATAGAAAAAAAACATGAAAGAATGTTTTCACTTGAGCATTGTTATTGTAATTCGTCAGCCAAAAAGTTTCAGTAACTACTAACCACTCCCCAACCTATACCTTTTCTTTGTGCATGTAGTGTTTTGTATAGCCCATGGCTCCATTGTGTGAATCCAGCAGCCTTTAGTTGGAACTCAACGTTGTGGACAATGACACTGTGACAGGTTTGCTTCTGCTTGATAAATGGAGAACAATGTCAGCAAAATGTTCCCTCAGAACATTTAGTGAAACCGTAATGCAGCATTTTGATGCTGCCTGAAGTTCACTTTTTCTGTTGTGGTAAGGGATGCTTGCCACTTTTAGTTAAAATTAGGAAAAAATATATTCAGATCTACAAAAATAACAAAATGTAAACTACTTGCTGTTGATGTAGCTAGCTACATTGTTATGATTTTCACTCCAGAGGAACTTTAACATATCTCCTCCTGTCTGCATGGACCACTTGAATGTATAAGCTAAACATTGGTGTAAAATAAAATCCAGTGTTGTTCATCCAACACCTCATAACCACCCCGTTACCTCATGTTTCACTAGTCTGTAGACTAGAACTATCTGTTCTCCTGGGCTTGAATTCAGAAACGGTCTCTGAGTAGGAGTGCTTATGATGAATACATTTTTCCTTTTAGATCAAAACGAATAACATTTACGTGGTCAGGCGGAACTTATCCTAGATCAGCAGAACACCTATTCTGAGACGCTTTATGAATATGTGCCCAAGTTTACGTTGTGCAATATTTTAAAGCCAGCTCCTCTTTTTATTATTATTTTTTGCCACTGTTACTTGCTGTCATTGTGATATGTTGATGTATGTATGCACTTTCATTATTTTAATCCTATGGATAAAATGTGTGTTACCTTGACTGGAAATAGGGTATGGGCCCGCCCTGAAAATGTAAAAAAAAAATAAAAGATGTGGAAATAAACAATGTGTATTTTTAATTCTGTGGAATTGTGCCATTCTGTGTCAGGTGTAGCAGGTTTGCACACCCCAAGTAGAATTTTCTCTGCAAACACTTTTATTGGGGTAGTGCCAAGGACAAACCTTGGGCAGTCCTAACCCTGATTTTCTGTAAATGCATGAATCAATGCCTAAATATTTTGGTACCCACTCCCTATTTACCTAGTTCCCTAGTCTTGGAAAATGAATTTGCTCTCTCGAACCATGTTTTCATCAACAGTTTTTTGTTGTTGCTAGTAGTCATATCATATATAAAATTGAATTGTATAAATGCCTCCAAATAATTTGTTCGTTCGACATGGGATCATTGTGTCCGTAAAATTAATTCGGCGGTGGAAACTGCGATATGCGCAAATATTGATTATCGTGTAGAAGTACATTTGGAGTCGCGATTATACGGTGTGTGGTCACCTACTACACTCGGGGAAACCAAGCAGTTTATTAGGCTTGATTAAATAAATAATGAACTTCACAGGGTGGTGAAAGTGCACGGTGATGAGCTTGATGCTGCTTTCCAATAAATATCGAGCGTCTTATGATGATCGATGCTTGACTGTCGTTTGACAAATATTTTTGCTCTCATCCATAATCTTATTCCAAAGTGGCGCAGCGCTCTAAGGCACTGCATCTCAGTGCCAGTGGCGTCACTAAAGACACCCTGGTTCGATTCTAGGCTGTATCAATTGGCACAGCGTCGTCCGAGTTTGGCCGGTGTAGGCCGTCATTGTAAATAAGAATTTGCTCTTAACTGACTTGCTTGGTTAAATAAAAGAAAAAATTGTAGACTAGCCTACCAGCACAGCCTTCCCGCACTGTATCTGCGACCTGTTGGCACGTGCCAAAACCAGAGTAGGCATATTTGCTATTTAACGCAACAGTTTTCGCAACAACTAATCCGTAGTTTAAAATGTGATGGCAATACATTGAATTTAGATTTTTATTCGGAACATATAAATTTAAGCGGAAAAAGTACATTTTGTGTGCACTACGTCATCATGTACTGATTGTTATCTGCAACAAGTCCATTTGGTGGAAACACCACTCAAAGATGTCTATTTCTAACCCAAGATAGAACACAGCCTGTCGTTTCCAATGGGAGCAAATTAATCATAGTGGGCAGAGCAAGCAAGGAGGTGGGCAGAGACAAGCATGAGCTAACGAGAGTCTATTGGCGCGTTCTAGCACGTTTTCCGTTAGGGAACGCCTACTCTGAAGTGCGCGTGTGCAATAACTCAATTCGCCCTTGCACTCCTAAACAACGCAATTTTTGTAAACTTTGGCAAAGGATAAAGTCTACGAAAATTAGTCCACTCTGTTCATAACATATTTTAGTTTTAGAAACAGAAAACTGTATTGAGATCAAATGTTCCATTGATGAGGAAATTTGTAGAATGTCGGCCAAAATCCATCTCGCTCCATCTTCTCCCACTGCCGGCCACTGGGCTTCCTCTCACCACCATATTTGGTAGTGAGTGGAACCACCAACCGGATGCTTCACATTTATACATCCGGTGAAATATCTGTCTCATTGTTCTATCTGTGCACCACTGAAAATCTGTCGCCAATTGGATGGAAACCTAGCTATAGTAACATTGGTCCATCATGATGTCAACACTTGTAAATGTAGTTTATTTTATTTTTGTACATGTTTATTTTTCTTCCTGTTCCTTTGATGTTTCCCTATGTAAAAACTCAAAGTCCCATAATGCAGCGCTGAATTATTGTGTGCGCAGTTCTCTGGGCGGGGTAAATTGTGGCGGTGTGGGGGACACTGAATGACTTTGTGCCTGTGTTTAGCAGGGTAGCTGGCTAGTTAGTCCATTTATTTGACAGGTACAGCCTTTTCAGAGCTATGGAGGCCCTTATCCCTGTCATCAACAAATTACAAGATGTGTTTAATACAGTTGGCGCGGACATTATCCAGCTGCCGCAGATTGCTGTTGTTGGAACGCAGGTAAGAATCGCTAGCCAGCCAGCTAGCTAGCATGCTCTCGCCACAGAGTTTCTTAACCAGTTGTATTCACTCTTACGTCGTTAGGTAGCTACTGCGGTCTATCACGCAGTTCCACTCATGGAACATATAAATGTGGTTACGTGTGCTCTGTTTTCAAGGAAAGGTTATCTAACGTTAGTTAATTAGCTCTGGCTAGCTACTATCACGCTAGTTAGATTTTTAGCTAGCTAGTTAGCATTATTGTGAGCAGCTGTATAGTTAGTTAGCGCGAATTTGACAGGCAGTGCAACCTGGCTAACTACCCCCGTACCCATGTAACATACTACTATGTTAATCCGCAGGTGTCATAAGCCGTGACCAAAGTCAAGCAAACAACTAGTTAGAGGTGATTTTAAAACTCAATCAAGTCATTAAATTGACATGTTACACTGTTCTGGGTAGTTTACACTGTCACTGGTATCCATTCTTCTCCTAGCCTTGGAAGACTTGAATATTTTTCAATAAATGTGAACATAATTGAAGTCTTCCAAGGCATCTGCTTTGTCTTATTTATTGAATTACCATCCATTTGCCTAGATGAACAGAGATGAACTACATGAAATAGGCTACACCTGTACCCTTCTCTCCACACAGCTGTTGTAGGTGTTACATAACAGGTTTACAGTAGCAGCCATCCCCTCCCAGGCATGTTTACTTCCACTGATTTGCTAAGAGGATGTCACTGTCTCAGCCCTTTGGCAACCTCTGAACCGAAAGTGCCACGGTGACAAGAAGGCAGCCATAGGATGTTTCCCCAATCATCTGGCCTCCAGAGTGTGTCTGCATTGTCTTGTTACTGCTTTTCAAAGGACAGATTCACAAAGAGGGGTTCATTTGAAAAATCCCTGAAATCCCTGTCTCTTTCAGTTCTATTTTTACCACATGACCGAGCGCAAACTAAAATAGGTCAACTACAGCCAGGCGCAGCTGAGGTGAGATCAGGCAGGTTCAAATCAATGTTGTGGAAAGATTTCACACTTGCGTAGCCTCAGTTGTACTTTGTAAGTGATGCTGACTTGTGTTGTTTACCAGCTCACGTTAACTTTTTGTATTGTAACTGATTCTGCCTGTGTTTCTGTCTCCAGAGCAGTGGGAAGAGTTCAGTGCTAGAGGCTCTGGTGGGCAGAGACCTTCTGCCCCGGGGTACTGGCGTCGTCACCCGTCGGCCCCTCATCCTCCAGCTGGTCCACGTGGACCCAGAGGACCGCAGGAAGACCAGCGAGGAGAATGGTACTGTGAAACACGACACTCCGTCACTGCTCTAGGGTTGTACAATTCTGGGATGCTTCTCATCAAAGTTCCCAGGTTTTTCAGAAACCCTGGTTGGAGTATTCCCTCTCTGCTTAGGCTATTTCCTTCTGATTCTGGAATGAAATCCTCCAACCAGGGTTTCTAAAAAACCTGTGAACTTTGAGAAAGCGACATTCTGCTGGCGGCTGCTCTGTGTCTCTCTAACAGGTGGTGGTGTTGTTGTAATCCTTCCTGTCCCTCTCATGTCTCCACTCCTCAGATTACTATTTAAACCACTCTAGTTGAATGCGTGTCCTATTGTGACTTTCTCTGTTCATTTGTGTGTGATCTAGGTTTGTGTGATATGCTGTGTTTTGATGCTCTGTGTGCCTGTGTGTTTCTGACTCTGGTTGGCCAGCCTTTTCTAGAAGAAGAAGTCTGGTAGAGCGGCTTAGGCCAGGACATGTTGTTATGAATGACTGCACCAGGAATAATGTCATGGTGCATGATTCAGTTGGACTGTGAGAAGTGCCATGTCAACTCAGCAGTTAATGAAGTCTGCAGTCACAGCAGTGGGCTAGCTAGCAAGTATCTAGCCGTAAATTAGGCATATAACCTTCAACGTGGTTTCCCTTATCTATTGAAATTCTACAGGAACCTGAATGTTCTTAAATAGCCACCAAGTCACAACAACGTGCAATGTCAATGTCATGATACTCTATCCACAATGACATCCAAGACATTTAAACGCAAAACCAGCTTATGTCGTTGGAGATATGCCACTATTAGGCTTTCCCCAATAGAATGACAAATGTAGTAAACCTTGCCTCGTTTGAGACATTCTGCACTATAGGCTTAGTGCTTGAGTCTGCCCTGCTGCTGGGAATGGTCACGACATGAAGGATGACGTAAAATACTGCATTGCTGCAGATGGCCATGATGCAGGAGCTGCAGCTAGCATCTAGGCTAACTACTAACCCCTCTCTCCTGTCATCTGATCTCTTCTGAACCACAGACCCCAATGCCTGGAGAAACATGCGCCTTTACAAAGGTCTCCTTTTCCTTGTTCCCATATTGCCTGTTGTCTGTGTCCAATCAGCAGCTTCTTACTCTAGTCTAGGCCTACCTCTTTCTGCTGGCCCCGTTTTGCCCCTCTCCCATCCTGCCTATTAGCCTTTTGTTTTTCTGGCTAAATGAAGCTGCCAAACCTTGTGGTTTAGCTTGATTCAGCGAATCAAGTCCAATAAGGTCAAACTCTGATTCAGACAAAACACTTGATTTTCTGTATGAGGAAAGGACGTCTAAGAAAAACTATTTTGGAGTGCATGGTCACAGTGTCATAACTTAGTTGGTGGTAAGTATGGCCCTTAAGGGCAAATAACATTTTATGTTCCAATTCACGCCCATTTTAAATATGCTGAAAAACAAACAAACTGCTTATAGCTAACTAACAGCTGAGCCACCACCCTGTTTATTTGGTTTTCATAGTTTGGTAAGTAATTATTTCAGTTGAATTAATCCAACTAATACGTGCATTATTAGTTTTGTTTATGAAAGGTGTTTGGTAGCTAGGTAGTAGTAATGCCTATTCCTGTGTTTCCCATAATGCACCAACCATGCTTCTCTGTCTTTTCTCACAGCAGGCATATTTTCTTTGCTTTTGTCAAAAACAACATTTCTCACTGTATTGTTTGTGTGTTCAAATCTCTGGCCATATGCCTCTGGTTTATCGGCCCGCAGAATGTATTCCCATCCCAGCTGAACAAACAAATAGGTCTACATCCTCCCTTTAGACACCAGTCAACATGATGACAGTTTAATAACAACACCATGTGCCGGTTTCCAAGACACAGATGAAGCCTAGACCTTGACTAAAATCGGGTACAATGGAGAGTCCCCGTTGAAATAGTTTTTCAGTCTAGCCCTAGGCTTAATCTGTGTCTGCGAAACTGTCCCTAAGAGCAGGCTACTAGGGCCCACTCCAAATGACATCTGGCAGATAGACTGAGACTGCCTTGTTATATTCCCACAGGCGTCGACGGAGAGGAATGGGGCAAATTTCTACACACCAAAAACAAGGTAGGCTATGTCTCAGTGCTAAAAATGCCTCCGAGGTAGTCTCTGTGTTGGTTCAAAGCCAGCAGGTTGCTGACTAAGCAAAGCACTCCTTCAGCTTTCTGTTCTTCTCAGTGGAGTTCCCGTTCACTGCCACAAATAGACACGCAGCTTAAATATTTGATAAACCTAATCAGATATAAACACACGGTAGGTTATTGCAGGGTTTCCCAAACTCGGTCCTGGGGCCCTCCCTGGGTGCACGTTTTGGTTGTTGCCCTAGCACTACACAGCTGATTCAAATGACCAACTCATCATCAGCCTTTGATTATTATTTGAATCGGCTGTGAAGTGCTAGGGCAAAAACCACAACGTGTGCCCAGGGGGGGGGGCTCCAGGACTGAGTTTGGGAAACCCTGGGCTATTGTGTTTATTTATTCACGGAGTTCATATTGGAATAGCTAGATGTTTTGTGTCTGTAGAGGAACTTTCTCTAAGTCACATGATCAGCCACAAACCCTCTCTCAGTCACAGGCTAGAAAGATGTAAGCACGCGTCAGGAACAGAGAAGGCCTTGTGACGTGCTATACTGTAAATTGCATTGATTCTGTGGCTGATAGAGGATTGTTTTTTTCTTATCTTCATGCTTACATTTGTAAGATCAGATTACATTTCTTTTGATGTTGTGTCCAGATCATATTTAAATTGATGTCATGTGTCATATGCAGCTATAGTATATAAACCCTAATGTAATCATTTGTTATTCCACACAGTGCCCATTAAGGTCAAATTTGCTTTGTTTTTAGATCTACACAGACTTCGACGACATCAGGCTCGAGATCGAAGCTGAAACGGAAAGAGTTTCTGGCAATAACAAGGTATGTCAACAACAAAATAATTTGGTGCAAAGGTAGTCCCCAACAATGTCAAACACTTGTTATCATTGCCAACTGCTAAACTGACATTTCTGTTTGTTTTCTTCCAGGGAATCACTGATGAGCCCATACACCTGAAAATCTTCTCCCCTCACGTAGTCAACCTCACGCTGGTGGATCTGCCAGGTATCACAAAGGTACACAGAAAGAAAAGCCTTTTTATTTCAAATGTAAATGCTGATCGAGTTGGTTTGAACCCACCACAAAACTTAGTTAGCCTGCTGAGCTAAAGGCATTAGCTCTGGGAGGTAATGCAAGTCTTCAGAGCTCAGGCAAGGTTACTCGTCTTGTAAGCATGGTTCACTGAACCATCTCTCTTTCCAGGTACATTGAAGGAGACAGAACCCCAAGTATGGTTTGAAATATGATATGAGCAGGCTACGTTGACAGTGTGTGTATGTCTACCCAGGTCCCGGTGGGAGACCAGCCCAAAGACATAGAGGTGCAGATCAAAGACTTGATCGTGAAGCACATCTCTAACCCCAACTCTATCATCCTGGCTGTGACTGCTGCCAACACAGACATGGCCACCTCAGAGGCCCTCAAAGTGGCGCGCGAGGTCGACCCTGATGGTAAACACCTTTCTCTCTTTTTCTCGCTCGGTCTCACTTTCTTTCTTCTCTTTGTGTGTAGCTGACGGTCTCTCTCTCTTTGCCTCTCTCTCTTCCATACGCTCTCTCTCTCTTGCTCTCCCACTCCCTCTCTCCCGCTCTCTCTCTGTTAATCTCAATTGGCTGTCTCCTACAGTGGTTTCTCAATCTTTTAATCCTTATATCAGAAATGCCATGGCATAAACCGCCTTCCAAAACCCCTTGATTACCTGGATGTAGGATACACCGCCTGCTAAAACCCCTTGATTACCTGGATGTAGGAAACACCGCCTGCCAAAACCCCTTGATTACCTGGATGTAGGATCCCCCTGCCTGCCAAAACCCCTTGATTACCTGGATGTAGGATCCCCCTGCCTGCCAAAACCCCTTGATTACCTGGATGTAGGATCCCCCTGCCTGCCAAAACCCCTTGATTACCTGAATGTAGGATACACTGACTGCGAAAACCCCTTGATTACCTGGATGTAGGATACACTGACTGCGAAAACCCCTTGATTACCTGGATGTAGGATACACTGACTGCGAAAACCCCTTGATTACCTGGATGTAGGATACACTGACTGCGAAAACCCCTTGATTACCTGGATGTAGGATACACTGACTGCGAAAACCCCTTGATTACCTGGATGTAGGGCCAGGAGTTTCTCATGATGGGGGGACCTGATCCTAGATCAGCACCCCTACTCTGATACGCTTTATGAATACGAGTTCTGCTGTTTGTGTCGCTGTGTGTAGGCAGGAGGACGTTGGCTGTGGTGACCAAACTGGACCTGATGGATGCTGGGACAGATGCCATGGACGTACTGATGGGCCGAGTCATCCCTGTCAAACTGGGCCTCATAGGAGTGGTCAACAGGTCTGCACCTTTACAAAATACACTTCAGTCTCTAACATGTTGAATAGAGCAGAACTTCAGCCTTCTGGGAAATCCTGCATATATTTTGAAGGGAGAGAATTTACTCTCCTTGTCCTCGTGTATCGAAGGGTGCTAGAAGCCAACAGTCACTCAGGATCAAAATGGAAAAAGGTTTAGAATTTTCTTTAACGCTACAATGTCATCAAAAAACTCACAGTCCCACCCTTATTTATTTTTCCAAGGAGTCAGCTTGACATCAACAATAAGAAGTCAGTGGCTGATGCCATCCGTGATGAATATGCCTTCCTACAGAAGAAGTACCCCTCCCTCGCCAACAGAAATGGAACCAAATACTTGGCCAGAACGTTGAACAGGTATGAAAATAGAAACGTATTAGGAAAAACAAGGCCTCAACAGAAGACAACTTTTGAGGTTTGAAACCGTTTGACCAACTTCTGATTTTGGAGTGTAATGTCACTCTAACGAGTCACTTTCGTTGTGGACGACATCATGTTGTCTGTTTCTTTTTTTCTTCTTCTTCTCTTTGTTGCCAGGTTGTTGATGCACCACATTAGAGACTGTCTCCCGGAGCTGAAGACTCGTATCAATGTGCTGGCATCCCAGTACCAGTCCCTGCTGAGTAGCTACGGTGAACCTGTAGAGGACCAGAGCTCTACTCTGCTGCAGCTCATCACCAAGTTCGCTGCAGAGTACTGCCACACCATCGAGGGCACCGCCAAGTACATAGAGACAACAGAACTGTGAGCAACTTACTCTTCTTTCTCTTAAAAAAAAGGGTGAATTCCTACTCTTTTAGTGTTATGTTTTTTTTCATTTATATGAAGAGAAAAGCAGGAAGCATGGAAAGAACCTCTTTCAAACATCCTTGCACCTCTACTAGTTGCCAGAAGGTGGCGCCAGTACAAATTGAGCGTCACAAGTAAAACAATTGGATGCTTTTGCAGTCCAATGTAGGAGGTGGTAGATTAGTTAGGCTAGATTAACTAGTCTACTACTTTGATCTTTCAGTTACAAATCGAAAGCTTGTGACTATAAGGTTCTATCTGCAAAAAGATGGTTCTGAGATAATTGGCTTTAAAGTTCCGAAACCCCATTGGTTTGAAATATGACCTACACGTGTGGTCCTCTGTAGCTCAGCTGGTAGAGCACGGCGCTTGTAACGCCAAGGTAGTGGGTTCGATCCCCGGGACCACCCAAACACAAAAATGTATGCACGCATGACTGTAAGTCGCTTTGGATAAAAGCGTCTGCTAAATGGCATATTATATTATTATATTATATTATTTGAATGATGTCAGCAATTTGTATATATATTTTACATAACAATTGGGGTATTTAGATGACTATATAGGAAGAACAAGGCTGTCAACTCCATTTTTTACAAATGCAGATAGAACCTTATAGTCCCAAGCTCTCAAAATGACAAAATTGTTGTTCTCTTTCAGGTGTGGTGGAGCACGAATCTGTTACATTTTCCATGAGACGTTTGGTCGGACGCTGGAGTCCGTAGACCCGCTGGGAGGTCTGACCACCATAGACGTGCTAACAGCTATTAGGAATGCTACAGTGAGTTGTGTGCTCTGTAGAGCCTCACAAATGTTGGGATCCATGTTCATTTCAAGTACAATGATGGAATGTTCAGCGTTTTGATGATCAGTTTGACACATCTGTTTTAGGGTTAAGGTTGATGGTTTAGCTTGAGTTCAAAGCAGAAAAAGACACATTTACTTTCTCTCAAGAAAATTAACAGTGAAGTATTCTTCTAAACTGTGAGTTGTGTGTTAGCCAGAGACTGCTGGGTAATGTAGTCTCTCTCTCTCTCTCTCTGTAGGGCCCGCGGCCTGCCCTGTTTGTGCCTGAGGTGTCATTTGAGCTGCTGGTGAAGAGACAGGTGAAGAGACTGGAGGAGCCCAGCCTGCGCTGTGTGGAGCTGGTTCACGAGGAGATGCAGAGGATCATCCAGCACTGCAGCAACTACAGCACACAGGTAGAGGGACACACACACACGCGCGCACACACACACACACGCACACAGGTAAGTACACTCCGTTTTGGCAAGATGGTGGCCGACAGACACGGTCGCCTTGTTCCTAGCTTCTAGCCAACTTTGCAGTATTTTATTTATTTATTTATTATTTCTTACATTATTTGCTCAAAATGTTTCTTGTATTTTTACCTACAGCCGGAAATAACTTTTGGATATTAGATTGGCGGTCACTTACCAGAAATGTGAGCAGAAATGTTGACTTCCCTGACCTGGATCCTTTGTTTTGAACTTCCGGAGGCAGCTCTAGTCATCCCGGGGTGCGTCGGAGAAGAGGTAGAAGGAGTGGGGCCCTAGTCAGACTCCGGCGGCGTGCACACCATCCACCGCCTCTCAGTTTATCACTCACTAACGTTCAGTCCCTGGACTAAGTGTGTTAACGCACACAAGGCTGCCTGCCCAGACGGCATCCCAAGCCGCGTCTTCAGAGCGTGAGTGTTTACGGACATATTCATTCTCTCCCTATCCCAGTCTGCTTCAAGATGTCCACCATTGTTCCTGTACCCAAGAAAGCGAAGGTAACTGAACTAAATGACTCGCCCCGTAGCACTCACTTCTGTCATCTTTAAGTCCTTTGAGAGGCTAGTTAAGGATCATATCACCTCTACCTTACCCGACACCCTAGACCCACTACAATTTGCATACCGCCCCAACAGATCCACGGACGACACAATCGCCATCACACTGCCCTATCCCACCTCGACAAGATAAACACCTATGTAATAATGCTGTTCATCGACCACAGCTCAGCCTTCAACACCATAGTGCCCTCCAAGCTCATCACTAAGCTCAGGGCCCTGGGTTTGAACCCCTCCTTGTGTAACTGGGTCCTGGACTTCCTGACGGGCCCACACCATGTGGTGAAGGTAAGCAACAACACCTCTGCTACGCTGATCCTCAACACGGGGGCCACGCACGTCTCCAACTTAATGAAGTTTGCTGACGACACAATAGTGGTAGACCTGATTACCAACAACGATGAGACAGCCTACAGGGAGGAAGTGAAAGCCCTGGCGGACTGGTGCCAGGAAAAATAACCTCTGCCACAACGTCAACGAAACTAAGGAGCTGATTGTGGACTACAGGAGACTGCAGAGAGCACGCCCCCATCCACATCAACGGGCTATAGTGGAGAGGGTCAAAAGCTTCAAGTTTCTTGGCGTGCACATCAATGACAACCTGAAATGGTCCCTTCACACAGACAGCGTGGTGAAGAAGGCACAACAGTGCCTCTTCAACCTCAGACCCTCACAAACTTCTACAGATGCACCATTGAGAGCATCCTGTCGGGCTGGATCACCGCCTGGTACGGCAACTGCACCGCCCGCAACCGCAGGGCTCTCCAGAGGGTGATGCAGTCAGCCCTGCGCATCACCGGGGGTATACTGGCTGCCCTCCAGGACCTCTACAGCACCCGGTGTCACAGGAAGGCCAAGAACATCATCAAGGACCTCAGCCACCCAAGCCACGGCCTGTTCACCCCGCTACCATTTAGAAGGCGGAGACAGTACAGGTGCATCAAAGCTGGAAACGAGAGACTGAAAAACTTAAATCTCCAGGCCATCAGACTGTTAAACAGTCACCACTAGCCGGCCTCCACCCAGTACCCTGCCCTGAACCTTAGTCACTGTTCTAGCTGGCTATCACCCAGTATTCTACCCTGCACTTTAGAGACTGCTGCCCTATGTACATAGTCATTGAACACTGGTCACTTTAATGATGTTTACATACTGTTTAACCCACTTTATATCTATATACTGTATTATAGTCATTGCTCATCCTATATAACTACTGCTGTACACACCTTTTCTATTCATCTACTGTCAATACTTTCTTTACACACGTTGCACTCACCGGACAGTTTATTAGGTACACCCTTCTAGTACCGGGTCGGGCCCCACTTTGCCTCCAGAACCCCCTGAATTCTTCGGAGGGCATGGATTGTACCAGTCGAAAACGTTCCACAGGGATGTTGGTCCATGCTGACGTGATAGCATCACGCAGTTGCTGCAGATTGGACGGCGGTACACCACCGCCACCAGCCTGTACCGTTAACACCAGGCAGGATGGGTCCATGCACTCATGCTGCTTATACCAAATCCTGGCTCTGCCATCAGCATGACTCAACAGTAACTGAGAGTCGGACCAGGCAACGTTTTTCCACTCAGTTGTCCAATGTTGGTGAGCACGTGCCCACTGGAGCTGCTTCTGCTTGTTTTTAGCTGATAGTAGTGGAACCCGATTTGGTCGTCTGCTGCAATAGCTCATCCGTGACAAGGATCACCAAGTTTTTCGCACCATTCTCGGTAAACCATAGACACTGTCGTGCGTGAAATACTGGATCCGGCATGCCTGGCACCGACGATTATACCACGCTTAGGCCACTCGTTTTTGACCATTCTAACGTTCAATCGAACAGTAAGTGAATGCCTCGATGTCTGCCTGCTTTATATAACAAGCCACAGCCATGTGACTAACTGTCTGTATGAGCGATCCATTTTCGTGAACGGGGTGGTGTACCTAATGAACTGGCCAGCGTGTGTGTAATATACAGTACCAGTCAAAAGTTTTAGAACACCTACTCATTCCAGGGTTTTTCTTTATTTTTACTATTTTCTACATTGTAGAATAATAGTGAAGACGTGGTCCTCTGTAGCTCAATTGGTAGAGCATGGCGCTTGTAACGCCAGGGTAGTGGGTTCGATCCCCGGGACCACACATACGTAAAAATGTATGCACACATGACTGTAAGTCGCTTTGGATAAAAGCGTCTGCTAAATGGCATATTATTATAAAACTATGAAATAACACATATGGAATCATGTACCGGTAGTAACCAAAAAAGTGTTAAACAAATCAAAATATATTTTATATTTGAGATTCTTCAATGTAGCCACCCTTTGCCTTGATGACAGCTTTACACACTCATACCACGGGTATGACAAAACATTTATTTTTACTGCTCTAATTACGTTGGTAACCAGTTTATAATAGCAATAAGGCACCTCAGGGGTTTGTGGTATATGGCCAATATACCATGGCTAAGGGCTGTATCCAGGCACTCCGCGTTGCATTGTGCATAAGAACAGCCCTTAGCCGTGGTATATTGGCGATATACCACACCCCCTAGGGCCTTATTGCTTATCTATATTATATATATCAATATGTATGTATATTTTGGTCTCTGACTGCTTGTTCTGATATTTTTAGTATTTTTTTTTTTTTGGGGGGGGGGGGGGATGTGTATTGGTTTTTGTATTGCTAGATATTACTGCACTGTTGGAGCTAGACACTTAAGCGTTCGCTGAAACTGCAATAACATCTGCAAATCTGTGTACGTGACCAATAAACTTTGATTTGATTTGCAGCAACTACAGCACAGGTAGGTTGTTCGTTCACACACACATTCACATCAACAACACTGCTTTGACTCTTGTCATCTGGCCAGTCACTAAAGGTTGTATCTCTCTCTCTAGGAGCTGTTGAGGTTTCCTAAGCTCTGTGATGAGTTGCATCTCTCTCTCTCTCTGAGCTGCTGAGGTTTCCTAAGCTCTGTGATGAGTTGCATCTCTCTCTCTCTGAGCTGCTGAGGTTTCCTAAGCTCTGTGATGAGTTGCATCTCTCTCTCTCTCTCTCTCGGAGCTGCTGAGGTTTCCTAAGCTCTGTGATGAGTTGCATCTCTCTCTCTCTCTGAGCTGCTGAGGTTTCCTAAGCTCTGTGATGAGTTGCATCTCTCTCTCTCTGAGCTGCTGAGGTTTCCTAAGCTCTGTGATGAGTTGCATCTCTCTCTCTCGGAGCTGTTGAGGTTTCCTAAGCTCTGTGATGAGTTGTATCTCTCTCTCTCTCGGAGCTGTTGAGGTTTCCTAAGCTCTGTGATGAGTTGCATCTCTCTCTCGGAGCTGTTGAGGTTTCCTAAGCTCTGTGATGAGTTGCATCTCTCTCTCTCGGAGCTGTTGAGGTTTCCTAAGCTCTGTGATGAGTTGTATCTCTCGCTCTCTCTCTCGGAGCTGTTGAGGTTTCCTAAGCTCTGTGATGAGTTGCATCTCTCTCTCTCTAGGAGCTGTTGAGGTTTCCTAAGCTCCATGATGCCATAGTAGAAGTGGTCACATCCCTCCTCAGGAAAAGGTTACCAGTCACCAATGAGATGGTGAGTCTTTTCGGTTACACTTTAGAATAATTTTAATGAATAAGCCATTATAAATGTTTGTAAATGCTCTCTGATCCACTACAATAACCCACAAACCCTATAGATTGAATTTATAGTAGAATACTGTCTGTTTGCTGTCCTTAAGTGTACCAAATCAAATTTCCTGTCTTTCTTTTCAGGTTCATAACCTGGTGGCCATCGAGTTGGCTTATATTAACACCAAACACCCTGACTTTGCTGATGCCTGTGGCCTCATGAACAACAACATAGAGGTAATGAACATTGTTCACAAAGTTGGAAACTGCTTCTTTCAATTTGACTTAATTTAGTATTTTCTTATTGTCTTATACAGTATATGAAGTGTTTTACTTAATGAAATCATGTGGTTGTGTCTCAGGAACAGAGACGCAACAGAATGAGAGAGCTGCCCTCATCTGTTCCTCGGGATAAGGTAACAGACTGTCATGTGGTTAGGATTTGTTTGATTGCTACAAAATGTACTGTTTTCTGTTTCTTTATGGCTCCCAGTCTACCCTTTAGAGCAGCACTAGAAGCCATAGTCCTATGCCTTTCCCTTTCCCTAGGCCTTTCCCTAGGCCTTTGCCTTTTCCTAGGCCTTTGCCTTTTCCTAGGCCTTTGCCTTTTCCTAGGCCTTTGCCTTTTCCTAGGCCTTTGCCTTTTCCTAGGCCTTTTCCTAGGCCTTTCCCTATGCCTTTTCCTAGGCCTTTGCCTTTCCCTAGGCCTTTCCCTAGGCCTTTCCTTATGTCATTCCCTAGGCCTTTCCCTAGGCCTTTATCTTTCCCTATGCCTTTCCCTTTCCCCAGGCCTTTTCCTTTCCCTAGGCCTTTCCCTAGGCCTTGCCCTTTCCCTAGGCCTTTTCCTTTCCCTATGTCTTTCCCTTTCCCTATGCCTTTCCCTATGCCTTTCCCTATGCCTTTCCCTATGCCTTTCCCTATGCCTTTCCCTAGGCCTTTCCTTAGGCCTTTCCCTTCCTTAGGCCTTTCCCTTCCTTAGGCCTTTCCCTTCCCTATGCCTTTCCCTTCCCTAGGCCTTTCCCTATGCCTTTCCCTATGCCTTTCCCTATGCCTTTCCCTATGCCTTGCCCTTTCCCTTTCCCTAGGCCTTTTCCTTTCCCTATGTCTTTCCCTGTCTTTCCCTATGCCTTTCCCTTCCCTATGCCTTTCCCTTCCCTAGGCCTTTCCCTATGCCTTTCCCTAGGCCTTTCCCTTTCCCTAGGCCTTTCCCTTTCCCTAGGCCTTTCCCTTTCCCTAGGCCTTTCCCTTTCCCTATGCCTTTCCCTATGTCTTTCCCTTTCCCTAGGCCTTGCCCTTTCCCTATGCCTTTCCCTATGTCTTTCCCTTTCCAAGCTCAGTTAATTTCTACTACTGCTACTTTTTACTTCTTCTAGTCTTCTGTCCACTCCTTCCTCTTTCACTCTCTCTGCTCTCTAGTACTTTAAGGGCCCAGGTGGTCAGTCTCTCTCCCCCACTGATCTTCCTCCCCCAGAAGGAGAAGGACCCAAGGTGTGTCCCTGTGTCACTCAATGCCTGCCTGCATCCTAACTCAACCAAGGCTTAATTTCAATTAAGTTAATTTAGGAAGTTAACTTTAAGTAAAATTGACAGTCGTCAATTCAGAAGTAAATGAAATGGAATTCCTCCTGACCCCAACCCACCCTCATTCTCCCCTCCCCAACCCCTGTAGACCGGAAGACCCTACTTTGTGTATGAGGCAATTCTGTGTTCCCCTTCTCTAGTCCTCTTCAGTGTCCAACAAATATGTATTTTGATAAATTGAAAGTCCCCCACCCCTCTGAGGATGAACTACATTTCCCATCTAGTGTCTCCTCCCGGCATGTGTGCTTCTGTACAGAGGAAGGGTCCCTGGACTGAAGGCTTTGTACTATATGTGACCCTGCAGCTGTCAGAATGCAGTTTGTTCCAAAATCTCAGTATATCTACAGACAGGACTGTATAGTCTGTAGATGTTACATCATACCAGACAGGCTGATGTAACAGCCTGGAGAGAAGCATGCTTTTTAGGAATACATTGTCACACGTGTATGATTGCTGTTCTTTATAAAATAGATGCTCTTTATAAAATAGATATTTTAATCTCAAGGAGACTGTATAAATTAAAGGTTGAATAAACGAAAAAATTATAAACCGCTTGCCATGATCTCTAACCATGCTGTCTGTGTCTATTTCCCCGTCTCCAGACTGCAGGTGGTGGTCCCCAGGGAGACCAGGACGGAGGGACAGGGAACTGGAGGGGCATGCTGAAGAAGGGAGAGGAGGGGATGGGTGGAGACAAGTCCATGCTCCAGACCTCTAACCCCGCCAGCCCTCAGAGGGGCCATGCCGTCAACCTGCTGGATGTGGTGGGTAGTAGCATCAAGACAGAAAGCTTTAGCCTACTTTACAAAATCATTTTAAAAAAATCTAACAAATCTATTTCTTAGGAGTAAAACGTAATGCCAAGCAACCACATGACCTCTGACTTTTTGAGTTGTCAGTAATTGGTCTGTTTGTGTCCTTGTATCCCCAAGCCAGTTCCTGTTTCCAGGAAACTATCGGCCAGAGAGCAGAGGGACTGTGAGGTCATCGAGAGGCTTATCAAGTCCTACTTCCTCATCGTCAGGAAAAACATCCAGGACAGGTATGGTGCCGCTGTGTTCTACTTCCTGTTGTTAGACTCCCCTCCTGTGATTTCTAGAAATCTAATTTCTACTGTTGTCTTTTCACCTGCTTTTAAGAAATTGAGAAAGTCCCTCACTCTTTCATCCACCCTTTGTCTATACACTGAGTGGACAAAACATTAGGAACACTTTCCTAATACTGAGTTGCACCCCCTTTTGCGCTCAGAACAGCCTCAATTTGTCGGAACATGGACTCTACAAGGTGTTGAAAGCGTTCCACAGGGATGCTGGCCCATGTTGACCCCAATGCTTCCCACAGTTGTGTGAAGTTGGCTGGATGTCCTTAGGGTGGCGGACCATTCTTGATACACACGGGAAACTGTTGAGCGTGAAAAACCCAGCAGCGTTGCAGTTCTTGACACGCAAACCGGTGCGCCTGGCACCTATTACTGTTAGGTTCTGACAAACAGAGTAAAACTCAAGGACGACTAGTAAAGCTCAAACCAAGTTTATTCACCCAATGGGTCAAACAGCTGAAAAGACAAAGACATGTTTCCACCAGCACAAGTATTTATACCCGCCTATTAGGCAGAGTCTCCTCCTTACACATTTAGACAGCCAATACATCTCTGTTGCTAGGCAGGAACTTAGGTGGTGTGTGTGTGTGTGTAATAGAACTGTTCCTTGTCATTTCATCTGACCTGACCTCGGCCCGAATTCTTCACTCCTCCCTACTCCACGGCTATCCAACCTGATCAGTGACTGAAACCAGACTGTTGCCATTTGCCCCTCTCTATAGGATACATGAGATTTAACGCTAACATGTTCTGCAAAATGTCAACTTTCTGCACTCCCCCTTTCTCACTCAGTAACTTTCCATACACCTGGTTCTCATCCACCCTCCATTGACCCCAACATATACATTCATTTAAAGTAATGTAAAGTAATCAACTTCAAGTATTTCGAGCTAGAATCCAACACTACCATACCCCGTTCAAAGGCACTTAAATATTGTCTTGCCCATTCACCTTCTGAATGGCACACATACACAATATACGTCTGACAGGTGACATCAATAAGGGATCATAGCATTCACCTGGTCAGTATGTCATGGAAAGAGCAGGTGTTCCTAATGTTTAGTACACTCAGTGTACTTCTCTCTCCCTTTTGCGCTCCCTCCTGCAGCGTGCCCAAGGCGGTGATGCACTTCCTGGTGAACCATGTGAAGGACAGCCTGCAGAGTGAACTGGTGGGCCAGCTGTACAAGGCTGGTCTGCTGGACGACCTGCTCACTGAGTCTGAAGACATGGCCCAGAGACGCAACGAAGCTGCAGACATGCTCAAGGTACAGTGTGTGTGTAGAACCTGCTCACCGAGTCTGAAGACATGCTCAAGATACACGCCTGGGATTAGTTGCAGAACTATGGGAGTTTGAAATATGGCAGAAGTGTTTTTGGGGCAGTAACTCCCAGCACCACAAATGAGAAGCTTGGTAGTGTGTGTTAACCATCTTCAAAAGTGAGATCTGTGAAAAGTGATCTAACTGCTGCTAGAATATAGCAGATGTTGGGACAAACTGTGACCTCCAGCTTTGACATCACTGGGGGTGTTTGTTTCTGTATGAATTTGCTCATCTAAACAGGCTTTTCCACTCTGTGTCCACAGGCCTTGCAGAAAGCTAGTCAAGTGATTGCCGAGATCAGAGAAACACACCTGTGGTGATGACCTCTACCTCCATACACTCTCCCTCCCACAAGGACCCTAAACCCTTCCCCCTAAGCCCTAAACCCTGTTCTGTCTCAAACCTACCTGGACTGCAGAGACGGCGAACTTGGAAATGCACTGGTGTCACAATTTGTGTTTTATTGTGTCTCAATTCTCCATCCTCCTCCTAAAGTTTGCACTTCCACACTCCCCTGTCATGGTTTTAAAAGCAATGGATTGGTGTAAGCACCGGCTGGAGGGAGTTTCCACTGTTTTGTTAAATCCATGACCGGATAAGTGTAAAAGTGCACACTTCTGGAGAATCGGGACGCAGATTTGAATAAAGTTGTGTGATGTATTATAGGGACCTGACCTATACGAAGGGCAGTAAATACAGAATCAGTCTTCACCTGCACCACACCACACACCAAATGATCTTTCATATGTAAGTATAGTATTATATTGATGAACATGTAAGGTGTGAGGCCTACCTACCGAATAATGTAGAGTTAAATTAAAGATGTTTACTCTAGTTTCTGGCTTGCTGTAATGTATGCTTGCGATGCGACTTGTAAATGCTGTCTGTCTTCATCATGGTTACAGATTTACATTTATATTTGAGTCATTTAGCAGACGCTGTTATCCAGAGCGACTTACAGTTAGTGAGTGCATACATTTTCATACTGGCCCCCCGTGGGAAACGAACCCACAACCCTGGCGTTGCAAGCATCATGCTCTTCCAACTGAGCGACACGGGGCCCATATTCTATATAGATCTATTTTCTCGCATGTCTATGCTACTGCTGAAAATGTCCTTACATGGTAACAATCCCTCATTTGTGTTGTTGATATTTACAAAGAGCAGAAAAGTGCCACTCTGATGTAGAATAAGTGTTGGTTATTGGTTGGCGTGAATGCACCATAGTGCAGCTGCATACCGTACACTTCTATGTTCTCTGAATGTGATTTCATGTCTTTTTTCACCTAACAATGCTACACCCAGTCCTATGTGGGTTGTTTTGACTCGTGACTGTACGTCTGTCACTGAAAGTGTTTGCAAGTTATCTAGTGTATTGATAAGGTCATGTGTACTACTATGTTGATATGAATAATGATAATTTGTTGTAATAGTAGGCTATGTGAATTTATGAAATACCCACAATACCATGTGGGAAAACGATCAGTAGTAAAAGTAGAACGGTCAGTGCAGGGCTGAATTGTGTGGCAACATCTAATTTGAAGTGACAGGTTTATTCTGTATATTCTCAAAAAGGGGTACCAGGGTTGAGTGACTCATTTATTGACTTGGTACATGTGATCCATTCTGACGTTATGCCATAATGATGAACACGTATACAGACACATTATTATCGTGGATGGATCTCCAGTCACGGCTGTCTGCCCTTGACCATGGCGGCAGCTCCTTTACCTCACCCGGCCCATCTTCTTGCCGCGACCTTTGGCGCTGAGAGGGGCAGGATAGGGTTAAAAAAGCTGAATGGCTTGGCAGCCAGGTAGTCAGCCCAGTAGTGAAAGTCTCTGCTGCAGCACTTTCCTGCATACTGATTATTTAACTCTTCACCCTTGAAGTGTGCACTTGTTCACTCCCCCTCATACAAGGGGGAGTCAGAGAATCCGACGGCAAAAGTGGTACACTTATGGGTCAAGTGTGAATTAGTTTAATGGTTTCAGTCAGTCCATCAGTTACACAGGCTTTTAGTTATTTTGGCTTGATTTTTATGATGGAATGGTTGTATTGTGCTTCAATTTCAGACCAGACCATCTTGGCAGTTTGTATCGTGACCACTTACAACGTTTTGAAGCTATCGTGCAGTGACAATGCTACATACAATGCAGACACACACACACACACACACACAGAGACGGACACAGGCGGTGTAAGCGATGGTCATGGCTATTTCTTTGGTTTCAATCAGGTTTTCTGTTACAATGTCTAATAGAGTGATTGGCAATGAATGATAAATGCTTGTTCCACTGGTAAATAAATGACTGTCCCTGCTTGGGAGTTTGAAAGGAATGATGGGAAATGGAGTTGTTGATGGAATGGCAACCAGTGAGTCCAATTAAAACGAAAACCACTATTCTGGGTCTTGTTCATTAGGCACGAAATGGAAGAAACTGTTCCAAAATGTACTCTGTACTCATCCAATAAGAGATGCTTGTCTGTTCTGTATTCTACTTGTTTTTCCATTTTGTACCCTAATAAACACGAATTCTGATGTCCCTCAAAGTCCAAAATTCTGGACTGCCGTGTTACTTACCTCTGGTGGTCCTGGACCCGAGTGAGAAGCTGGTTAATCTGTAAGGACACACAAGACTTGCTGTAAGCGTTTAAACAACACTTTTTAGTTACTGTGGAAGAAACCTGCACAGGTGGAGTCCATCTGAGAGGTGGAGAGGAACCCAGGAACGGGATGATACTATAGACCTCAGAATTCACCTGTAGTTTAACCTGTTCACTAGTACTGTAGTTCACCTTTCATGTACCGACCAGGGTTGGGGTCAATTCAGGAAGTACTTTCAAATTCTAAGTCTCTTAAATGTTTTTCAATAAGGAAAATGTCGAATTGGAATTTGGTTTACTTTCTGAATTGAAATGGAATTGACCCCAACCCTTGTACCCACTGCCTGGGACCTCTCTCATTGCCATCCGAAAGCAGACAAGACTATCTCGCAGTATTCCCCAGATCCCAGGGAGGTTGAGAGGAGAAAGGAACCCAGGAACTTGCCGATGTATTTCATTGAGGGTGACTGTTGCATACTCGTTTCTGTGTTAGGTCTAGGTGACTTACATCATACTTCTGTTTCTTGAGTTTCTCACTGAGGTCAAACTTCTCTGCCTCCAACTCCATCATCCACTGCCACATCTCACTGGCCTTCTCCCTGTCGGGCAACAGTGGATCAGAACACTTGCTTTCTTGCCCCAAAGAACCTTTGTTGTCTCACTGAAGAATCTACATCACTCTAAACCATTCAGATAGTCATGTTCAGTCATAAAATGAAAAACGTCAGACATAAACCATCATAAATAATTATGATAACACTGTCAGCTTTTCTGAGGACAGGCAAATTCTGAATATGAACTATGACATACTTGAGTTTGTCCTCATTCAGATGGTCGATGTTGAGAGGTTTCCTTCGGTCAGCAAGAATCTTCTTCTTCTTCTCCCTCTCTGTCTGTTTCTTGGCTCCTTTGCGGTTTTCGCTCTGAGCATTGAAAAATGGGAAATACGATTGTTCTCAGAGATTTTGTGTATATACACTACCGGTCAAAAGTTTGGACACTGCTACTCATTCAAGGTTTTTTTTAAATATATATTTTTAAATATTTTCTACATTGTAGAATAATAGTGAAGACATCAAAACTATGAAAAAACACATATGGAATCATGTAGTAACCAAAAAAGTGTTAAACAAATCAAAATATATTTTATATTTGAGATTCTTCAAATGTCCACCCTTTGCCTTGATGACAGCTTTGCACACTCTTGGCATTCTCTCAACCAGCTTCATGAGGTAGTCACCTGGAATGCATTTCAATTAACAGGTGTGCCTTCTTAAAAGTTCATTTGTGGAATTTCTTTCCTTCTTAATGCGTTTGAGCCAATCAGTTGGGTTGTGACAAGGTAGGGGGGGTATACAGAAGATACCCCTATTTGGTAAAAGACCAAGTCCATATTTTGGCAAGAACAGCTCAAATAAGCAAAGAGAAACGGTAGTCCATCATTACTTTAAGACATGAAGGTCAGTCAATATGGAACATTTCAAGAACTTTGAAAGTTTCTTAAAGTGCAGTCGCAAAAACCATCAAGTGCTATGATGAAACTGGCTCTCATGAGGACTGACACAAAAATGGAAGACCCAGAGTTACCTCTGCTGCAGAGGATAAGTTCATTAGAGTTACCAGCCTCAGAAATTGCAGCCCAAATAAATGCTTCACAGAGTTCAAGTAACAGACACATCTCAACATCAACTGTTCGGAGGAGACTGTGAATCAGGCCTTCATGGTCGAATTACTGCAAAGAAACAACTACTAAAGGACAGAAATAAGAAGAGACTTGCTTGGGCCAAGAAACATGAGCAATGGACATTAGACCGGTGGACATTTGTCCTTTGGTCTGGAATCCAAATTGGAGATTTTTGGTTCCAACCGCCGTGTCTTTGTGAGACGCGGTGTGGGTGAACGGATGATCTCCGCATGTGTATTTCCCACCGTAAAGCATGGAGGAGGAGGTGTTATGGTGTGGGGGTGCTTTACTGGTGACACTGTCTGTGATTTATTTAGAAGTCAAGGCACACTTAACCAGCATGGCTACCACAGCATTCTGCAGCGATACGCCACCCCATCTGGTTTGGGCTTAGTGGGACTATCATTTGTTTTTCAACAGGACAATGACCCAACACACCTCCAGGCTGTGTAAGGGCTATTTGACCAAGAAGGAGAGTGATGGAGCGCTGCATCAGATGACCTGGCCTCCACAATCTCCTGACCTCAACCAAATTGAGATGGTTTGGGATGAGTTGGACCCCAGAGTGAAGGAAAAGCAGCCAACAAATGCTCAGCATATGTGGGAACTCCTTCAAGACTGTTGGAAAAGCATTCCAGGTGAAGCTGGTTGAGAGAATGCCAAGAGTGTACAAAGATGTCATCAAGGCAAAGGGTGGCTGCTTGAAGAATCTCAAATATAAAAAATATTTTGATTTATTTGTTTAACACTTTTTGGGTTACTACATGATTCCATTTGTCTTATTTCATAGTTTTGATGTCTTCACTATTCTACAATGTAGAAAATACTAAAAATAAAGAAAAACCCTTGAATGAGTAGGTGTTCTAAAACTTTTGACCGGTAGTGTATATTTTTTAAATCAAAATATTTTGGAGGAAATGTTCATTGCCCCACATTACTTGGATGCTTCCGTTACACTATTATCAATATCTTTATGATAAAGAATACGCAGGTTTTTAAAAATGTTTTTGGAGATACCTTCTGCTGGACACCTCCATACTGGTGGGTCATGTTGGTGAGAGCCTTCTTCTTCTTGGCGTCATCATCATGCTTCCTACGCTGGTCCTCTGCCTCCTTCCTTTCCTTCTCCTCCTGACACGCCTCTAGCACGGAGCATTGGCATTAGTCAGAATTAGGAAAAGCCGGGCATTTGGAGAAAAGAGATCAGAGACAATAGACACTTAGGAAAAAAAGATACAGAGCATTAGGGAAAGACAGCATTAGGAAAAAAGACACGAGAAGCATTAGGGATTAGAGAAAGACACGGAGCATTAGGAAAAAAAATCACGAGCATTAGGGAAGAAGACAGAGAACACGAGCATTAGGGAAGAAAAGACATGAGCATTAGGGAAGAAAGACACTGAGCATTAGGGAAGAAAAGATACACGGAGCATTAGGGAAGAAAGACACGGAGCATTAGGAAAAAAAGATACAGAGCATTAGGGAAGAAAGACACTGAGCATTAGGAAAAAAGACACGGAGCATTAGGGAAGAAAGACACAGAGCATTAGGGAAGAAAGACACGGAGCATTAGGAAAAAAAGATACAGAGCATTAGGGAAGAAAGACACGAGCATTAGGGAAGAAAGACACGGAGCATTAGGGAAGAAAGACACTTAGGAGCAAGCTAGGCATTAGGAAAAAGACACGGAGCATTAGGAAAAAAGATACAGAGCATTGGGAAGAAGACACGAGCATTAGGAAAAAGACGACACGAGCATTAGGGAAGAAGACAAGAGCATTAGGGAAGAAGACACGGTTGAGAACCTTAGGAAAAAAAGATACAGAGCATTAGGGAAGAAAAGACACATGAGCATTAGGAAAAAAGACACAGAGCATTAGGGAAGAAAGACATCGGAGCATTAGGGAAAAAAAAGATACAGAGCATTAGGGAAGAAAGACACGAGCATTAGGAAAAAAAAGATACAGAGCATTAGGGAAGAAAGACACTGAGCATTAGGGAAAAAAAGAACGGAGCATTAGGGAAGAAAGACACGGAGCATTAGGAAAAAAAAGATACAGAGCATTAGGGAAGAAAGACACTGAGCATTAGGAAAAAAGACACGGCATAGCAAATAGGAGATAGAAAAAAGACACGGAGCATTAGGAAGAAGAATAGAAAAGACCGAGCATTAGGAAGAAAGACATGAGCATTAGGGAAGAAAGACACGGAGCATTAGGGAAGAAAGAGAGCAGAAAGAAGACACTGGAGAGCACTGCTAGGAAGAAAGAACGGAGGCATTAGGAAGAAAGACTACAGAGCATTAGGGAAGAAGAGGGAAGAAGATACGAGCATTAGGGAAGAAAGACAGCATTAGGGAAGAAAGACACTGACCATTAGGGAAGAAAGACACTGAGCATTAGGGAAGAAAGACACGGAGCATTAGGGATGAAAGACAGAGCATTAGGGAAGGAAGACAGAGCATTAGGGAAGGAAATATCTAGCAAGATCCATCATAGAAATTACATCCACAACCTGTTGCCACGTTGGCCATTAGAAGTTATATTGTTTTAGTCATATGTGGTCCTGTGTGGGTCAGTTGGTAAGAGCGTGCAACACACAGGTTGTGGGTTCAATTCCAGCATAGAACACACATTGGCTAAGTGTCATAATGGAGAGAAGACTCACCGCAACCCTGACCTGCCTCTCTTTCTCTCGCTCTGCACGAACCCTCTGCTGCTCTGCCCTCTCCGCACGACGTTTCTCCTGCACACGCACACACACACACGCACAGACTCAGTGACAAAGTCATTATGTGTCGCGTTGCCATGTTTCTAGGAACAGTGAAAGAACATTCACTCTCCAGATTCTAAAATGGCCGACTCACAATCCTGTTGACGAGAGTGATGAGCTCCTCTTCTTCCTTCTTCCTCTGGATGAAGTGAGACTCGATCAAAGACTGGAGCTCAGACAGGTCCTTCTCCTGACGCTTCCTGTGGATGTCCTGACCACCACAAGGAAGAATCAGATTAAGTAATAAGAGTTGTGTGTTTTGGTAAGACATAATATACACGTAATACACCCTGAAAATAGTCATTTCCCTAGTTAGACGTAATCTTTTATTGACTTTCTGTACCTCTCATTTGCTTCATTTTAACAGGAGACAGTTGGAGCACATCTGTCACAAATGGTAAGTTCGTTTTTTTATCATGATGTGTGTGTAGCATTGGAGGCTGCTGAGGGGAGGACGCCTCATAATGAATGGCTGGAACGGAGCAAATGGAATGGCATCAAACACATGGAAAACATGGAAACATTTGTTTAATGTATTTGATACCATTCCACCTATTCCACTCCAGCCATTACCACGAGCCCATCCTCCCCAATTAAGGTGCCACCAACCACCTGTGGTGTGTGTGTGTGTGTGTGTGTGTGTGTGTGTGTGTGTGTGTGTGTGTGTGTGTGTGTGTGTGTGTGTGTGTTTATGTGATTCAACTTACATCAAAATCCACTTTCTCGCCATCAGGCATCTTTGGCACAGAGATGTTTGGCACAAACCTATGGAAATGAAAATTGTGTGTCTAGAGTATATGTAATCTCAATTTGAGCATTTCAGTAAATGTCACATTATCTTTCAACATCATTTATAATGTAACGTATAATCTGTCAGGGGAAAATAAAAAAAGAGCCACCCAGAAACACTTGGAGGCAGTGTTGCCAACTTAGCGACTTTGTCGCTATATTTAGCGAGTTTTCAGACCCCTCTAGCGACACATTTTCATAAAAGCGACTAGCGACAAATCTAGCGACTTTTTCTGGTGTTATTGGAGACTTTTGGAGACTCTGATGTGAAAGCACGTATCATTCTTACTCTTCTCAACGAGCAGCGGGTGCTGCCGTGGGCCCGGGCCCGGGCCCCACCCCCGTCCCAAAGCACTCACAGGCGGCCCACGGCCCAGTCCTCGCGCAGCAGTCCCTCCCAGCTGCAGTCAGAGCAGGAGATGTTCACCCCTCCCCGTCCAGACTGCAAATGAATCGCGCATGCGGGAAGCCGCCGCTGGCTGATCCCGCCCTGGCTTACATTCAGGGCGGGATGTAAATGTAGGGTGTTTTTTTACTCACTTTTTGTCTCTCCCACAACGTTATTCCTCTCTCCTACAGCGTCCATCACAATTACATGCACATGTACTATTATTTTTTATTTTTTACAAATGGGCCTGGGGTGACCAGTGGATCTGTTTACCCTTCTCAGCTTTAAGACCTAAACCAAAGCAAGGGCTCTTTTCAACCCGCATCGTGGAAGTTCAGCTTTACAGCGTGATTTAAATTTAAAGGCAGTGTTCCCGCTTTAGGAGAGACTGCATTCACGGTGAACGCTGCATATGTCGGTTCAATTGGAAATTAACTTTACATTTCTATTGCGGAATCTGTAACGCTTCAGCGTTACAGATTGAATAGAGCCTTAAATCATAGTCTGTCAAATTCATTCATGATTTAGGGGTAATCTAAAAACTTACTTTGGTTTGGGCTTGGATCCATCTGTAATAAAGGACAGTGACTCTCTTAGCTTGATCATATCATACAAAAGGTTGTAAGCATTATTAGAAGGATTTCATGTTAATCAGGATAGAATAGTCCTTTTGAAGTTGTAGGGGATGGGGTCATAAAAGTATAATTGTGTAATAAAATATACAGGGCATTTGCATATACACAAGCAGTGAATCTTTCAAATTGACAAAAATGATAAAACATTTCTCAAATCGCCACTAATCTAATTCATTAAAATGATTTGAGTAAAATCTCAATTTATTGACAGACTTACAGACAAAGCAATCTTACCTTCTTCCTCCCTTCACAAAAGAAGTGGCGTGAAAACAAAATAAATATTTGATTAGTTTGATATAGTGGAAGGTTTTAAAACATTAAATATATATAATAATAATAATAATAATAATACAAATACATATGATACTTACTGCACTTCCTCCACTTCTTCTGTGTCTGACATTTTGTTTTATCTGAACCCTAAAATACAAGATACAACTTTACTTGAGTACATGATAATGCTATAAGAGTAAGCCATACAGGATAACAACACATTGTAGACTAGGCTACTATCATCACCTCCCAGCACTCAATCTTTCTCACACAGCACTCAATCTTTCTCACACAGCACTCAATCTTTCTCACACAGCACTCAATCTTTCTCACACAGCACTCAATCTTTCTCACACAGCACTCAATCTTTCTCACACAGCACTACATCATTCTCACACAGCACTACATCATTCTCACACAGTATTCACTCAATCTCCCTCTCACAGCACTCCGTCTTTCTCTTGACATCTGAGGTATTGGCTCTGGCTTGCTGACTGGCTCAGAGGACATTGTCAGTCTGATCAATTACTTAGCTCGTCTTAGAAGAACACTATATATGCCTAAACTGTTTATTTAATGAGGGCTTGATCCAAACAAAATTGCACTCATCCATACTCCCTACTATAGATACAATGGGTCTACAGCAGGTCCTCTTCTGACCAGTGGAAAAAGAAACATACCTTTGTAACTGAGTCTAAACTGGGAATGGTGTCCAAGGACACCGTCTGCTTTAGGCACTAACAGGACAGTCAGTGATGTACTTTAGGACAGGTGGGCAGTCCCAGACCCTTCACCACTCATGAAATTGATCGTCATGTCATGCCTGGTGATGTCTAACGGCTTGCCAGAACCCTGTCAGTGGCTTTAGAAATGTCTGTAATTCTTCAAATGGTGTTAAATGAAAACCATAAGCCTAACCCTCATGTCATATTCTCTCTCAATGTGATGTGATTAGCCAGTGATGCTATCTGAATGTGGTTTTAGTTTGACGTTATCTTTTTTGTTTTGTTTTACGTTAATTTTCTCACAGGTAGTGAGTTAATTGGTATTTGTTCGGTCATTATATTTGTTGGATTCTGATGTTTCTGTATATATAAAAAAAAAAGTCTAAATATTGGTCATAAAACAAATGTAGGTAATTATTTATTTGAAGAGTACCTACATGAGGGCTTCATAACACATTCATAACAAATACATAACACATTCATAAGCAGTACAATTTTTGAAAGTGTTATAAAGTCCTTATGTAGGTACACTTCAAATAAAGGGTTACCAAAATGGGTGAAAGCCCCCCTTCCCCTAGGCTCAATTGTAGAGAGAGTGAATTGTCTGCAACTTTTATGACCAATCACAAGATTTTGTATTATCATTTTCCCTTAACATTACATAATTGTCTTTCTAAATGGTATTCACAATTAGGATGCAGTCCATTAAGTCAATAGTTAATAACCAGCCCATGTAGCCCATAATAATATACTATAGCAGAAAACCACTCATCTTCAAGCAAAGAATCATTAAAAGTTGATTGATTTCAATACAATGTAAAGGTCTGTCTGTGATGAATACCAAGGCAGTTATGTATAGAGGTATGCCAGTATGAAGTAATAACCCTTACCTGAGCCCAAGGCAGAGAGAGAGAGAGAGAGAGAGAGAAGAGGGATACCGATACAGAGGCTGCAATTCTTTGGGGTTCAGAATCCAAACAGGTTTAGGTTTGGCCATCAAGTCTACATAGCGTGTCCCTTCCTACTCATGTGACTGCACTGCCCTATGGTTGTCCAGCTATTGTTAGAACCTTAGACAATGGAACCCCAACATATCAGAAGGCATACTCATGCACACACATACATGCGCGCACACACGTACATGCAAGCACTTTACACACAGGGTTTTGTTGAAATTCCTACCCTACACTCCCCTCCATGAAAATCATCACAGGTCTGTCAACAGATTTTCATCCATCCAAATATATATATTTTTAAATCTCATGAAAGACAAAACATCACAAACAAATCACAAGACATTCTCAGCATTGTTTTATTTATTTATTGCTGTAGCAGGGACAATGAACAAGCTTCAAACAATACCTTCAAACGAGACAGTCCTTTACGTTATATGAGTTACTTACAATACTCTCCATTTACACAAGGACCATTGACAAAGATGGATACTACCTCATATTCAGAATGTCACAGTGAAACATTCAGGTGAGTATAGCACTGTATGTTAATTAGAAGCCTAGTACAGTATTCTATTGTGGTATAAATCAGTAAAGTATGTAAATATAGTAACAAATGTTTTGTCATACCCGTAGTATACGGTCTGATATACCATGGCTGTCAGCCAATCAGCATTCAGGGCTCGAACCACTCAGTTTATATTGTGGTATAAATCAGTAAAGGATGCTGTATTTTAGACAGACGGATCTTTGCTTTTCCCCTCAACTTGCAATATGCTGCAAATCTCATCTAATGTTGCTTTCCCACGGTGTTTCAAAATGGTGCAAATATAATTAGAAAACACTAACCTTTAAAAAACGAAGCATGATTAGAAATTATTACAACAATAAAAAAATAGGACATTCTCAAAAAAGGCAAACCTTTTTGCTTGGAAACTATTTTATTTTCATTTCTTGGTACATTTACCCCTTTTTCTCCCCAATTGGTAGTTACAGTCTTGTCCCATCGCTGCAACTCTCGTACGGACCTCCTTTACGTCCTCATGGATACCAACTGAAGTCAAGCCCAACTGTCATTTACCCTCTGATAAACTTGCTGCAGTCCTACGCATTATTATTGGAAGGGTTTAGCATCAGCAACCAGTGCTTATTATGATAGTAAGTTGTAGTTCATGGTTTAGGTCCCCTGCAGAGCAGAGCTATTCAATATATATGGTGTCCATATTAGGACAGCCTTCTTATGACTACGTGGCAGTCCGAATATAAAATAAGTCAAGTATGTAAAGGACCATCAGCCCAGATCCAGCTTAGCGGGAGCAAGACAACACCAAAGTATCAGTCAATCAACCAATTTCAATCAGTCAATCAAGTTATTTATTATTATTATTATATTATTATTATTAAATAAAAGTATATTTGGGAGGATAAAACAGCTGTGATGCAGTAATACTCATTTAGTCATTTCCACAAATTGAGTACAAAATGTGAACACATCTCAAAAAAGCTGTGATAGTGTTTACTGCTAATTCATAACTAAAAACTAAAACACCCCATACATAGGCCTACTGTATGACTGAATAATGTGAATATGACATATATACTGAGTGTACAAAACATTAGGAACACCTGCTCTTTCCATGACCAGGTGAATCCAGATGAAAGCTATGATTCCTTATTGATGTCACTTGTTAAATCCCCTTCAATCAGTGTAGATGAAGGGGAGATGACAGGTTAAAGAAGGATTTTTAAGCCTTGAGACAATTGGGACATGGATTGTGTGTGTGTGCCATTTAGAGGGTGAATGGGCAAGACAAAAGATTTAAGTGCCTTTGAACGGGGTATGGTAGTAGGTGCCAGGTGCACCGGTTTGTGTCAAGAACTGCAATGCTGCTGGGTTTTTCACGCTCAACAGTTTCCCGTGTATATTAAGAATGGTCCACCACCCAAAGGACATCCAGTCAACTTGACACAACTGCAAATTCTGAGGGCAAAAGGGGGTGCAACTCAATATTAGGAAGCTGTTCCTAATGTTTTGTACACTCAGTGTATGTCAGAGGAGGCTGGCGGGAGGAGCTATAGGAGGACGGGCTCATTGTAATGTCTGGAATGGAATAAATGGAAAGGTATCAAACACATCAGACATGGAAACCACATGTTTGACTCCGTTAGATTAATTCCATTCCAGCCATTACAATGAGCCCGTCCTCCTATAGCTCCTCCTACCAGCCTCCTCTGGTGTAGGTAGTACATATTTATGATCAGACTGCCCGCTAATGTCAACCTTATGCAACTGGAAGCTTTCAGTTCACTATGGCTATTTGGACAGTTACATTACCTATTTAAATTCTTACTGTATCTCTATAGAATACATTACATTTTGGATGACATTTAAACAACTTTTACAATTATTTTGAAAGTTTCATATAAATTCTTTGAATTATTTTGTTTATCAAAGAAATTAAGTCAAGCCCAAAGGGGTGGGGTTAACATATATTTCATTACTAACATAAATTATTTCCTACAAATGTGGTTGATCAAATGTTATTTTCACAGCATTGATTCTATTAGGACGTACGAGGGATTGTGCAAAGGCTGTTTCATTCAAAATCTAAAATACCTCATAAAATACAGGGCTTTAAATACAGTGCTAATATGTATTTTGGGATGGTATTCAAATGTTGGCGCATGTCTCCCATTGACATCAATGAATGATTTACACAAAAGTAAGAGTTAAACGTGAGGATCTCAACTCTGAATACCACCCAAAATCAATAACCTGTACTCCCTCCCTCCCCCTTTCCTAAAGCATAACGTGACCCCTGTGTGGTTGTAATGGATATATTTTGGGTTATGAATACACATAGTAGAGTCTTGCATTTCATCAGTTGGGGCTTCTTCCTCAGGGTTTTTCCTTTGTGCTGTTAGCGTCCAACACCTGCTGAGAGACAGGGGGGAAAATATCATTAGTCCTGAGGAAAAGTCTCCAACAAAAAGTGGCCAAAAGCCACAAAAGTCTTATGAAGTGGAAAAACTGCGCAGAAAGTGGCAAAATGTTGCAAGCAAAACAACCAGAACAGCCAATCACTTTAAAATAAAGCAGTGAGGTAATTCTAGTACTAAGTGAGTCATACTTAATTAAATCACAGAGAGAAGTATGTATCCACTCCTTCAGACAATGGCATAGCTTATCAAACTTTATTAGGTGTTAATAGAAACAATGATTGATAAACGAGTAATCTAATGTAAGAGCTGTTAATCAAAATGTTTGTGTGTGCACGTACAAGCATGCGTTTGTGTATGTGAGCGATAGTTTGTGTATGTGAGCGATAGTTTGTGTGTGTGTGTGTGTAGCTGTGTATATCAGACCCAGTATGAGACCTCTGTTGACACATACTCTGAGGTCTCTGCAGTGACACTAGAGTGATTGATAGCTGTACCATTGTCATTTGCCCTTCAATTCATTCCCAGGGGGCTATTTCAGCTGAAGAATTGCGAAGGTTGCAAGGGTGGGGGCGCTATTTAGGGTGACACCCGAAAGGAGTGCGGCAGCTTTTCCATTCCCCCAAGTCTGACTCAGTGGTAGTATCCTGAGAGGAGATCCCTAGTTGGGCTTGGACTGGGCTGAGGGTGCTACTGATAATACAGTGTATACTGTAATGGGGAACTAGAAAAAGTACCACTGTCGGGGGAAAGATGCTTGGGCAGAAAGGCGTACTGTAATCAACATGCCCCATAGGTGTAAAGTCTTTCTGCGCTGTGTCAGTATTTACCGATGCAATTGTACTGTGTTACTAATCTCACTCAACAGCCATTGACCTACTGGGAGAACAAGCCTTTAAAACATTAACGTTGAGTGTATAAGCCTGGTGACTATGCTGCCTAAAGGGCTGGTAATCCTCCACAGCACACAGGCATAATGCAACAGTAATGTGACAATACAAGCAGCTGCTCTGTGGCATCAAGCCGACGCTCGGCACGGTATTCGGCGGGTCCAGGTGGCATGGGGTGAACTACGCAGGATTGGGGGGGGGGGGGGCTGCGTCCCAAATGGCACCCTAAGTAGTGCACTACTTTTTACCAAAGGGCCAAAAGTAGTGCACTACATAGGGAATAGGATGCCATTTTGGAAGCAGCACAGTGACATGGTAGCCATCTAAGGAGCATGAAAGGTTCTTTATACAGGGAAACAAGGTCAGGGGGAACAGCGTCTTTAAATATAGAACAGCAATGCAATGCAGTGAGGACATGTGAAGGAGCCGTGCCCAAAATAACAAGGAGATTTGATTGGCCAGCGGAACACAAAGAGGAGGATGGTTGTAGGAGTTGTGGACACTTGGCTCCATGGAAGAGGGTTCGTAAATAAATTCAAGCTGTGTGTGTGCGTGTGTCCTTCAGAAGAGACACATTTTCCTTAGTCTCACCTCCTTTTGATCTGTGACGATGTCAATCACACCAGGTTTGGAAAAGCCCTGGTTCAACAAGCACGCACGCATGCACACACACTCACACACACACCATAGTGAGAAAACTCACCATTTGTGACAGATTTGCTCTTGCCTCCAACTGTTACCTGTGAAAACAAATGAGAACTGAAATGAAACGGGGGAAAAGTTACTAAACCATGTAATCTTTACCAGTGTGACTGTATTTCACGGTGTATCATGTCTTACCATGGGCCAATCATTATTACTTATTAACATTCACAAACTGAACAAAAACATAAATGCAACATGCAACAATTTCAAAGATTTTACTGAGTTACAGTTCATATAAGGAAATCAGTTAATTTAAATAAATTCATTAGGCCTTAATCTATGGATTTCACATGACTGGGATTACAGATTTGCATCTGTTGGTCACAGATACAGAAACACAGTAGCGGCGTGGACCAGAAAACCAGTCAGTATCTGGTGTGACCATTTGCCTCATGCAGCGCGACACATCTCCTTCGCATAGAGTTGGTCAGGCTGTTGATTGTGGCCTGTAGAATGTTGTCAATTGCATGCACCCTTAAAACGTGAGACATCTGTGTCATTGTGTTGTGTGACAAAACTGCACATTTTAGAGTGGCCTTTTATTGTCCCCAGCACAAGGTGCACCTGTGTAATGATCATGCTATTTAATCAGCTTCTTGATATGCCACACCTGTCAGGTGGATGGATTATCTCGGCAAAGGAGAAATGCTCACTGACAGGGATGTAACAAAATGTGTGCACAAAATTTGAGAGAAATACGCTTTTTGTGCTATGGAAAATTTCAGGGATTTTTTATTTCAGCTCATGAAACACTTGACATGTTGCGTTTATATTTTTGTTCAGTGTAGTTCAGGGTCATGCATTTTAACGTGCTGAAATGTCTCAAACAAGGTGTGAGAGGGAAGAAAGTGTAACTATGTATCAGTAAACCAGAATTGAACATGACTGTGTTAGAGGAGGAGACAGAGGTGGGGGGAGATACATTCCATCCCAGTGCTTATTGTGTATGACCACATGTACAGTGGGGCCCGAGATTATTGACACCCTTGAGAAAGATAATAATAATAATAATAATAATAATATGCCATTTAGCAGACGCTTTTATCCAAAGCGACTTACTGAGCAATAATAACTGTATATAAATAAATAATTAAAATACTGAGCTATATTGTATGCAAAAACATTTTGGGAAATTATATTATTTTATACTAATACAATTGCTCAGATAAAGAGTGACTCTACAAACATGTTGGATGCATTTGCAGTTCGCTTTGGTTGTGTTTCAGATCATTTTGTGCCCAATAGAAATGAATGGTAAATAACGTATTGTGTCATTTTGGAGTCACTTTCAGTAGTTACAGAGGGTCAAAAGATCATGCTAACCTCGCATGTTATTGGTAATGGTGAGAGGTTAGCATTTCTTGGGGGTATGATCTTTGACCCTCTGTAACTTTCTCACTCATCATTATTCACGATTCATACAGGTTTATCCGTAATCATGATAGCATCCACATTAATGTAGAAGTGTTTAGAAACATATTCTGTTCTTATTTACAATAATAGTGATTTCAAAATGACACATTACATTATTTACCATTCATTTCTATTGGGCACAAAATGATCTGAAACACAACCAAAGCGAAGTGCAAATGCATCTAACGTGTTTGTAGAGTCACAAGCTTGATGTAGTCATTGCATGGAATATGGAACCAAATACTACCCTTTTGACTACTTTATTTATAAGAATCTTTAGGGGTGTCAATAATTTTGAACCCTACCTTTTCTTTTTTTGAAAAAAATAAATATATTACTTGTTAAATAAAATCTCTTTCTCTGAGCAATTGTATGAGTATAAAATAATATAATTGCCCAATTTCATACAATATAGCTCAGTATATCAATCATTTATTGTACACAGTTGTTATCGCTCATCTCTATCAAGGGTGTCAACCATTTGGGACCCCTCTGTATGACCTGACTGGCACAGATGTATTTAGCCTTCACACCAAACTGCTGAGCAATGCAATCCATATGTCCCTTCACATAACATATAGAGCATTTCCCTAAATAAGGCTGGTGAAAAGCCACATCAAAAAAGTACAGTTCCCAAAATGCCATTCTTCGAGTCAAAGCCATTGGGCTCCCGAGTGGCGCAGCGGTCTAAGGCACTGCATCTCAGTGCTTGACGCGTCACTACAGACCCCCTGGTTCGATTCCAGGCTGTATCACAACCGGCTGTGATTCGGAGTCCCATAGGGCGGCGCACAATTGGCCCAGCGTCGTCCGGGTTTGGCCGGTGTAGGCCGTCATTGTAAATAAGAATTTGTTCTTAACTGACTTGCCTAGTTAAATAAAGGAAAAAACAAAAATAAATAAATGGAAACTAAGGATGGCCACATACTGTACAAACAGATATACTGCACGTGAGATGGTGATTGATTTGAAAGGACATAGTGGGAATCCAACCCACATGAGTGAGGTAAGATAATACATCTAATCAGAATCAGACCTGTTTCTGTTCTGATTGTTTTCTTCCAATAAAGGTGCAGCTGACCCATTGTGTGTCATGGTGTTGGTGTTTGACGGAGAACACGTAGGTGAATAATCACAGCAAGTTAAGTTAACTTAGTAGCCTGCTGTTTTGACATCTCCCACGGTCATTGTTTGGTATCAGATAAACAGATCTAGGATCAAGCTAAAGACTAAGTGCCTGGTGGTATAATCTGCAAAACATTACTTTTCCTCAATACCAATTACCTCTTCCGCTCGTCGAGATTTAAAGGTGCAGTCAATTAAAATGATGCTTCAAATGGGGAGAAAATAGGATCACAGAATCCTGTTATTGTACTGGACACCCTAAGAAGCATTTGATATCTTTGTCACTCTGTAAATAACTACTACAGTACTGTGGTCCAATCCCTAATTGACCCCTAGACCCTAGACCCTAAACCCAACCCTTGTGAAGAACTGAGAGATTGGACAGGTGCTCGCAAATAATTAAGGCAAAATTCCACCTAGCTTATAAGAGGGCAAGGTGGAGCTATCACAACATTGTTTACACCCATCAAATCCTCTCAGGCCTGTCTGGGGTTAGGGGTTGTTTCGGGACAGGGCCATCGTCTGGTCAACTAGCTCACCTTAGAAGGGGAGGAGCCCTTTGTTTCCCATAGGCTGCACTTGTTGCCGACGTCAACAGGTCCTGCAACAGAACACAGAGCAGAGCGTGACGTAGGGAAGGAGACATAGTGAGGCTGTAGGGCATTTAATCTGAACTTAAGCATGGATGGAACTACGCTGGATGCTAACAAGTGCATCAATGGTTGGTGAATTACTAATAATCTATTGGTTAACTGGAGGTTAATGTTTCCATCAATGGTGCATTCAAGAATGTACTTTTTAAAGATATTAGATGCACCTTGCTAATGTAAGATATGCTTTGGACCATACAGTACCTGTCCCACAGTTAAAATGAAGCAGAAAACAGAACAGAAAAGTCCAGAAGGAAGAAAAGTTGAAGAGGAAGACCAAGAGGAAGAAAACTGCAAAGCTAGTAAAGTAGAAGAGAAGGAAATAAGTTGTTAAGCAACAGTAATTGATAGATAGAAATGTCCTCAAAAAAAATAGACTACCTCAAAAGCTAAATACAAATCTAACCTAAAGATTTCATTTTACATGCAGAAGAGTGCTATAGAACTTCTCTCCATGAGAGGGAAGCCTTGTAGCGTTCACGTAAAATAAACTTGGCTCCTACAAGTTCTTGTGGCTGGTAGGAATGGGACTAAAGATATCCCCTCATAAATTTCAGGTTAGAACAATGTGCCTTGTCAATCAACAGTACGTCTGTATGTGGAAACATAGGTTCACACACTGTCCTGACTGTCTCTAAAAGAACAGGGAAGATTAGCCTGCTAGCTCGCTATAAAGAATAGGACACACTCACTGTCATCACACTATTTCAAATGACCTTACTATCACTGGATATGGCTAACTTTATTTTTTATATACATCCAATTTAGGATATGTGTACAGAAATTATCTAGTTTAACTCTCTAGTTTTGGTCTAAATTCTAAATTAAACAAATCAACTGTTTTGAGAGAGAAAAAGTTGGCTGTTATGAAATTGGTCATCAACTGAAAACATTTGAGGGACTTGACCTTTTGTTCTAGTCTTAAACAGAACTCCAGACTGAGCCGCTCTCTGATTGGTCAAATATGGACAGTCACAATGTCACCAAGATCTACAATGTCCCCTTGAGACGCTGTTTACACACTTACAGTGCCTTCGGAAAGTATTCAGACCTCTTGACCTTTCCCACATTTTGTTACGCTACAGCCTTATTCTAAAATGTATTACATAAAAAAAATACTCAGCAATCTATACACAATACCCCATAACGACAAAGCGAAAACAGGTTTTTATAAAAGTTGTAAAACATAAAATAAAAAATCGTATTTACATAAGTATTCAGACCCTTTGCCATGAGACTCGAAATGTTGCTCAGGTGCATCCTGTTTCCATTGATCATCCTTGATGTTTCTACAACTTGATTGGAGTCCACCTGTGGTAAATTCAATTGATTGGACATGATTTGGAAAGGCACACACCTGTCTAAGGTCCCACAGTTGACAGTGCATGACAGAGCTCCAAGGAATTGTCCGTAGAGCTCTGAGACAGGATTGTGTCGAGGCACAGATCTGGGGAAAGTTACCAAAACAATTCTGCAGCATTGAAGGTCCCCAAGAACACAATGGCCTCCATCATTCTTAAATGGAAAAGGTTTAGAACCACCAAGACTCTTCCTAGAGCTGGTGGTGGCAGCATCATGCTGTAGGGGTGTTTTTCAGCTGCAGCAACTGGGAGACTAGTCAGGATCGAGGCAAAGATGAACGGAGCAAAGTACAGAGAGATCCTTGATGAAAACCTGCTCCAGAGCGCTCAGGACCTCAGAATGGGGTGAACGTTCACCTTCCAACAGGACAACGACCCTAAGCACACAGCCAAGACAACGCAGGAGTGGTTTCGGGACAAGTCTCTGAATGTCCTTGAGTGGCCCAGCCAGAGCCCGGACTTGAACCCGATCGAACATCTCTGGAGAGACCTGAAAATAGCTATGCAGCAATGCTCCCCATCCAACCTGACAGAGCTTGAGAGGATCTGCAGAGAACAATGGGAGAAACTCCCCAAATAAAGGTGTGCCAACTTTGTAGCGTCATACCCAAGACTCAAGGCTGTAATCACTGCCAAAGGTGCTTCAACAAAGTACTGAGTAAAGGGTCTGAATACTTATGTAAATGTGATATTTCCGTTTTTAATTTGTAATACATTTACAAAAATGCCTACAAACCTGTTTTTGCTTGATCATATGGGGTATTATGTGTAGATTGATGAGTGGGAAAAAAACAATTTAATCCATTTTAGAATAAGGCTGTAACCTAACAAAATGTGGAAAAGGTCAAGGGGTCTGAATATCTTCCGAAGGCCATGGTGTGCACATACTTGAAAATACTCTACCAGCTGTAAGATAACCTTAAACCTATCAGAGCCAAGCAATGTGAAATATTGCCTCTGAGAATGGCTGGTGTGGAGAGGGCAGAACCAGGAAGTTATGTTGGCTCGATGCCACCTGGCACACAGAGATCATTCTTCTACTGCTCGCTTGGTATTTTTCTGACCAGTAGGCGACACATCTGACATGATGTGTATACAAATCCTATTTCAACTTGTTTACGCTAGTATACTGGACTACCTGTAGCTATCAATTAAATTTGATTTGATTTGTCATGTTAGTATTCAATTATTCTATGGAGCTTTACTCAAGGCATTGTATTGCTTTGCAGGAACACGTTGCAGTTCAATATCTGCCATGCATCACAAAATAAACCCAAGGTGTCATTTGCATTTTCCCAATACTCTCCGTTACTGTAATGACATCATCATACGGTAGGCTGTAGCGCCTCACCTTGCCCCTGGGCGTTACGCCCAATGTGAAGGGTTTCTTGTCTTCGTCGGCTGATTCCTCTATCTGTTTCTTCTTCTCTGCAGCCTCTTTTCTTCTTTGCTCTAATCTCTTCCTTCAACCTCTTCCTCTCCTCCTGTAAAAACCACAGCAATGGACCATTGAGTTGTTATTGTTATCATGAGGGTTGAGGTTTAGGGTTATGGTTCTAGTTGAGGCTAGGGTTAGGGTTGTAGTTGAGGGTTAGGGTTGTAGTTGAGGGTTAGGGTTAGGATTGTAGTTGAGTCTAGGGTTGGGGTTGTAATTGAGTCTAGGGTTGGGGTTGTAGTTGAGGCTAGGGTTGGGGTTGTAGTTGAGGCTAGGGTTGGGTTGTAGTTGAGGCTAGGGTTGGGGTTGTAGTTGAGGCTAGGGTTGGGGTTGTAGTTGAGGCTAGGGTTGGGGTTGTAGTTGAGGCTAGGGTTGGGTTGTAGTTGAGGCTAGGGTTGGGGTTGTGGTTGAGGCTAGGGTTGGGGTTGTAGTTGAGGCTAGGGTTGGGGTTGTAGTTGAGGCTAGGGTTGGGGTTGTGGTTGAAGCTAGGGTTAGGGTTGAACTGGTATGTGGACATGAAGCTAGGGTTAGGGTTAGAGTCGTTCACTAGGCAAGAAATGGAACAAAGTAGTCTGAAACAGGCTGAAAACATGTTTTTATCATTTAGCTCCACATGGAGCATTTCGCTTCTGTTTCAACTGGATCCCTGCCTGCCTGCCTGCCTGCCTGCCTGCCTGCCTGCCTGCCTGCCTGCCTGCCTGCCTGCCTGCCTGCCTGCCTGCCTGCCTGCCTGCCTGCCTGCCTGCTGCCTGCCTGCCTGTCCTGTCTGTCTGTCTGTCTGTCTGTCTGTCTGTCTGTCTGTCTGTCTGTCTGTCGTCTGTCCGTCTCGTCCTGTCGTCCGTCGTCGTCCGTCCGTCCGTCCGTCCGTCCGTCCGTCCGTCCGTCCGTCCGTCCCACCCACCTGCTCTATGGCCTTTTTCTCTGCCAGCTCTGCCTTCCTCTGCTTCTCCTCCTCCTCTATGATCTTCTTCCTCCCCTGCCTCTTCTTCTTCAGTTCCTCCAGCTCAGCCTCAGCCTCCTGCTGTTTCTGCTTCATCTTCTCAAACGCCTCGCTGTCCGCCTCGTCACGACGATGCTTCAGCTCCTCCAGCTTCCTCTCCTCCTCCAGACGCTCCTGGTCCTCCGCCTCGGTGGAGCGAGACACACCTCCGTTCTTCTGCTTGGAGGGGGTGGACTCCTTCTGTTCATCAGAAATCTGTGATATATAGACCAATGGATCTGATAGACCAATGGATCTGATAGACCAATGGATCTGATAGACCAATGGATCTGATAGACCAATGGATCTGATGGACCAATGGATCTGATAGACCAATGGATCTGATAGACCAATGGATCTGATAGACCAATGGATCTGATAGACCAATGGATCTGATAGACCAATGGATCTGATAGACCAATGGAAAGCAAAGAGATCCCAATGGATTAGTGATGGACCATTGTTTCAAAGTGGTAGTACAACCAGACAACTCGTTTGTCGGATGGACAGAGTATGATAGAGAGAGATAGACTCACCTCGTCTTTCTTGACTGATCTTAGCTTTGGTTTCTCCACCTATACTTTCTCAGCCTCCTGCATCAAACGTCCAATAATGACAAAAAATAATAATAATATGCCCATTTCCTAGGATTTTCTATGATTTAGAAAATACAAAAATATGCATGTGAAGGTCTATTTGACTCCAAATTCATGTTTGATCTTACCCGCTTTTTCAACTTCTCCTTGGTGGGCCGGAACAAAGGAGAAAAAAGGAGGAGGAGTCAAACAACTGGCATCTATCTACAGTACATATGCAGACGGTAGAAGCAAGGCAAAATGGACGCCGTTGCCATACAATGCGGTTCCACTTCAGCCTGCAAGGTGACAGCAATGCAGAGGTACGTTGATGCAGACCAAACACACACTCTGACATCACTGTGACAACACTGTAACAACACTGTGACATAACCAGGAGGACACAACTAGCCTGGTCCCAGATCTGTTTGTGTTGTATACAGTAGTTAATTCCTATGGTTGTGGTTATGCCAAACTTTTTACATGACAATGACCATAGGAGTTTGTAAAACAGCATAAACTGATCTGGGACCAGGCTAGGAAACAACTGCCCCAATTATCAATGATGCAAAGCAACACACTGTGACCACTCTGTAATCTGTGACCACGCCTTGACGCATGGAATAATGTGGATATGGAAGATCCTACTGGGCAAAAACCAATTGAATCGATGCTGTTTCCATGTAAATTCTACCCAAAAAATCTATGTGATGACGCTGAATCAACATGGGAAACTAACTGGATTTGCAAAAAGTCATCAACGTAAGGGCATTTCATATTTTTTTCACTCAACTTTTTAACTAAATCGAATGACATGGTGAAATGTTTTGTTGATTTCACGTTGAATTCACATTAGTTGACAACTCAACCAAATGTACATAAAAACCAGACGTTTAACTGACGTTTGTGCCCAGAGGGATGCAATCATCTGCCCCAAACAGCGAAGACATAAAACGCAGAAAAACCTGGATAACACAGATAAATCGTCTACATGTGTCATTGAAACATCTTGATTAGAAATGTGTTGTTGAGCATAGCTTACTGTACACACAGTACATGTACAGTGCATTCTGAAAGCATTCAGACCCCTTGACCGTTTCCACATTTTGTTACGTTACAGCCTTATTCTAAAATTGATTAAATATTTTCCTCACCAATCTACACAAAACACCCCAAGCAAAAACAGTTTTTGTGATAATTTTGCAAATATAGTTTAAAAAAACAACAGAAATACCTTATTTACATAAGTATTCAGACCCTTTGCTATGGGACTCGAAATTGAGCTCAGGTGCATCCTGTTTCCATTGATCATCCTTGAGATGTTTTTACAACTTGATTTGAGTCCAGCTGTGGTAAATTCAATTGATTGGACCATGATTTGGAAAGGCACACACCAGGTCTATATAAGGTCCCACAGTTGACAGTGCATGTCAGAGCAAAAACCAAGCCATGAGGTCAAAGGAATTATCCGTAGAGCTCCGAGACAGGATTGTGTCGAGGCACAGGTCTGGGGAAGGGTACAAAAACATTTCTGCAGCATTGAAGGTCCCCAAGAACACAGTGGCCTCCATCATTCTTAAATGGAAGAAGTTTGAAAACACCAAGACTCTTCCTAGAGTTGGCCACCCGGCCAAACTGAGCAATCGGGGGAGAAGTGCCTTGGTCAGGGAGGTGACCAAGAACCCAATGGTCACTCTAACAGAGCTCCAGAGCTCCTCTGTGGAGATGGGAGAACCTTCCAGAAGGAAAATCATCTCTGCAGCACTCCACCAATCAGGCCTTTATGGTAGAGTGGCCAGACGGAATCCACTCCTCAGTAAAAGGCACATGACAGCACGCTTGGAGTTTGCCAAAAGGCACCTAAAGACTCTCAGACCATGAGAAACAAGATTCTCTGATCTGATGAAACCAAGATTGAACTCTTTGGCCTGAATGCCAAGCGTCACGTCTGGAGGAAACCTGGCACCATCCCTACGGTGAAGCATGGTGGTGGGGATGTTTTTCAGCGGCAGGGACTGGGAGACTAGTCAGGATCGAGGGAAAGATGAACGGAGCAAAGTACAGAGAGATCCTTGATGAAAACCTGCTCCAGAGCGCTCAGGACCTCAGACTGGGTCAAAGGTTCACATTCCGACAGGACAACGACCCTAAGCACACAGCCAAGACAACGCAGGATTGGCTTTGGGACAAGTCTCTGAATGTCCTTGAGTGGCCCAGCCAGAGCCCGGACTTGAACCCGATCTAACATCTCTGGAGAGACCTGAAAATAGCTGTGCAGCGACGCTCCCCATCCAACCTGACAGAGCTTGAGAGGATCTGCAGAGAAGAATGGGAGAAACTCCCCAAATACAGGTGTGCCAAGCTTGTAGCGTCATACCCAAGAAGACTCGAGGCTGTAATCGCTGCCAAAGGGGCTTCAACAAAGTACTGAGTAAATGATCTGAATACTTATGTAAATGTGATATTTTCGTTTTTGTATTTCTTTTTTGTACAACAAAAACCTGTTTTTGCTCTGTCATTATGGGGAGTGTAGATTGATGAGGGGAGAAAAACGATTTAATCTATTTTAGAATAAGGCTGTAACCTAAATAAATGTGGAAAAAGTCAAGGGGTCTGAATACTTTCTGAATGCACTGTATGTGCTATAAGAAACTAATGAGGAACATTGGAGTTATCCAGGATTTTGAATGGAAGCAATCACCCTAAAAGTCACACCGATACCTCTGCTTTCTGCTTTTCCTCTGCTTGCTTAGATGTTTTAGCTTTCTCTTCTTCTTCTTTCTTGAGTTTTGCAGCTTTTTCTTCTTCTTCTTTCTTGAGTTTTGCAGCTTTTTCTTCTTCTTCTTCTTTCTTGAGTTTTGCAGCTTTTTCTTCTTCTTCTTTCTTGAGTTTTGCAGCTTTTTCTTCTTCTTTCTTGAGTTTTGCAGTTTTTTCTTCTTCATCTTTCTTGAGTTTTGCAGCTTTTTCTTCTTCTTCTTTCTTGAGTTTTGTAGCTTTTTCTTCTTCTTTCTTGAGTTTTGCAGCTTTTTCTTCTTCTTCTTTCTTGAGTTTTGTAGCTTTTTCTTCTTCTTTCTTGAGTTTTGCAGCTTTTTCTTCTTCTTCTTTCTTGAGTTTTGCAGCTTTTTCTTCTTCTTCTTTCTTGAGTTTTGCAGCTTTTTCTTCTTCTTCTTTCTTGAGTTTTGCAGCTTTTTCTTCTTCTTCTTTCTTGAGTTTTGCAGCTTTTTCTTCTTCTTCTTTCTTGAGTTTTGCAGCTTTTTCTTCTTCTTTCTTGAGTTTTGCAGCTTTTTCTGCAGCCTCTTTTTCTTCCATCTCTTTCTTCTGTTTTTCTTCCTCTTCTTTCTTGGATATATCTTCAACGGCTTTCTTTTCTATCTCCATCTTGGGCATAATGGATATTTCAAACCCACACTCTTGTAGTGTTGTAGCGGGTACAACAAATCCAATACATTTTCCTGGTACTATATGCGTTTCCTCGACCTCTTCCTATGAGATAAAATAGATTTTGTGTCAATACAACTTTCTGTAAATACAATACCACCCCCGTCCAACAATTATGCTCACTCATATCAAAGTAGGAAGTCATACTCTACCTCTTTCTTACCCTCCACCTCCTCAGCTTTCTGTGGCATGGTTTCAGGCTTTTCCTCCTTTGTGTGTGCTTCTTTCACCTCCTCCTTCTCCTCCTCCTCTCTACTCCAGAGTTTGTGGTCACCTCCTCCTGGGCTGGTTTCTCCTCCTTCTCCTCGTCTGTGTCTCGGTGGCACCCACTAGAGGAGGTGTCCTCTCATTGCTGTCGGTGATGGTAGGGTCGAACTTCTTCTGTCTATCCAGTGCTTCCTTCAACCTCTTCTGTCTGCGCTCCTCCAGCTTGGCCAGGCGGTCCATGAGTACTGCATCCTCCTCACCTCCTTCACCTCCTCCTGAGGAGCTCACCTCCACACTGGAGGAGGAGGACTCTGTCTCTGTCCCACTGTGGTCAGGAGAGAACACACCAGTCACTAGCAGCTGTGGATTAACACAGAAACAAACAGGGAAAGGGTTCTACATACAACCGTGTTCTTTGGAACCATCTCTATGTAAGCAAGGGTTCTAAATAGGTTATTTGATGTGTGGAAAAGGTTATACCTGGAACCATAAGGGGTTCTTCTACAGAGACAAGCATTACGACCCTTTATGGTTCTATGTAGAACCTTTTTCTAAGAGTGTTTGATTGTCATTTTGTATCTGTAGGGGGTATCTAAAAATTAATATATATATTTCACCTTTATTTAACCAGGTAAGCCAATTGAGAACAAGTTCTCATTTACAACTGCGATCTGGCCAAGATAAAGCAAAGAGGTATCAAAGACCAAGAGATCTGAAGAAACCACCTCTCAGATGGGATCTTTCTATAGATCGGGGTCTTGTTCAGGAGGGAGAAAACAAGTGGAGTGAATGGGGAGGTTCTACCTGAATTTGTAGAAGACATATTTATTTCTGTTTTCAAGGATTTGTCCCCACTGTGGTTGTCCTGTGTTGCGTACCTGTGAGTGTTGTTGACCTCTATTGTCACGGTGCTGCTGCTGGACTCCTCCATCTCTGTCTTTTTCATCCTCTCTTCACAAGCCTTTCTCCTCCGCTGTTGAGCCGCCTCCTCATCATCATCTGTTGTGCTGAAGCCCCTGAAACCACACCAAGACATACAGTTATGGGGATTCATTAATGGGGATTTTTTTATTTATTTTATTTATTTAACTAGGCAAGTCAGTCAAGAACAAATTCTTATTCACAATGACGGCCTACACCGGCCAAACCCGGATGACGCTGGGCCAATTGTGCACCGCCCTATGGGACTCCCAATCACGGCCGATTGTGATACAGCCTGGAGTCGAACCAGGGGGTCTGTAGTGACGCCTCAAGCCCGGAGATGCAGTGCCTTAGACCACTGTGCCACAGGGGATGTAGGCCTTTTGCCTACAATTATTACTGCCATACCAATGAATGATATAGGCCAACTGTCTATTGTGCACCATTATGATTCCTATTAATAACAAACAATTGTTCAAAGTTGTTTACATTTAAATTGTAAGAAATTGAGTTTTACAGGAGGGCATTTATTGGGGTCTTAAGCCTCACAAACAATCCTTACACTCTGAGGGGTAACCAAGGCTTAACAACCAAACATTCATCCCATCTCCATTCTTTACACAACACTACATTTGCCATGTAGATATGGCCTGATCCTTATGTCCCAAAGTGTGATTATAAAGAGTACATAAAGTAATGTATATAATTTATATAAGTCATTAAGAGAGTACATAAAGTCATTAGTCATCATATACAGACATAAAGAGCTGTCCAAGACCCTATGCACACATTCATAAAGAACATGCCTGGATGTCTGTCACTATGCTAAAGGACTAGAGGAATATGCAGTGATCCTTGCAGGATTACGCAAACACTTTAGACAAAGGTACAAGGTCCGGTCTCACAAACTATTAAAATATTAATTATAATTCTTGTCAGTCAAACACTTGGTCCTCCAGGGACTTGATCCTATTTCCTCCCACACAAACCACATACCGTCTCCCAGTGATCTGACCTCCAGAACAATTACAGGTACGATGGATGGATGGGTACTTCCTGCAATACTGGAGGGAGGTTGAGATCACACACACTGGTTATGTGTGTGAGCGAGATAGATAGAGAGAGAAAGAGAGAGAGAAAGAAACCCCCCAGAGAGAGCGACCCCCTCAGTATCCCTACAGAAAGAAAAATAAAAGTGAGAGAGGAAGATAGAGGGGGAGGGAGAAAGTGAGAGAGAACTGTAAAGATTTAAAGACAATCTTGTTCTCTTTATTAACTCCACCCCTGCGCCGGGAAAAAAGGGTGATCGGAGCGTCCAGAACAGGGGGTTAGTACGGCTCCGCCTCCGCTTCAAGCCGTACATAACAAATCCATATCTCCCCTCTCTCTACCTATCCACCTACTCCCTCTCTCACCTCCTCCCTCCTCTCCCCTTCATCCTCCTCTACTAGCCTAACAGTCGTGGTCCTATAGGTGTTTGATATTAGTATTGTGAAGTATTGGTCTTCACAAAGTTTGCTGCTTCAGTGTTTTTAGATATTTTTGTCAGATGTTACTATGATGAAGTATAATTACAAGCATCCCATAAGTGTCAAAGGTTTTTATTGACAATTACATTAAGTTTATGCAAAGAGTCAATATTTGCAGTGTTGACCCTTCTTTTTCAAGACCTCTGCAATCCGCCCTGGCATGCTGTCAATTAACTTCTGGGCCACATCCTGACTGATGGCAGCCCATTCTTGCATAATCAATGCTTGGAGTTTGTCAGAATTTGTGGGGTTTTGTTTTTCCACCCGTCTCTTGAGGATTGACCACAAGTTCTCAATGGGATTAAGGTCTGGGGAGTTTCCTGGCCATGGACCCAAAATGTTGATATTTTGTTCCCCGAGCCACTTAGTTATCACTTTTGCCTCATGGCAAGGTGCTCCATCATGCTGGAAAAGGCATTGTTCGCCACCAAACTGTTCTTGGATGGTTGGGAAAAGTTGCTCTCGGAGGATGTGTTGGTAGCATTCTTTATTCATGGCTGTGTTCTTAGGCAAAATTGTGAGTGAGCCCACTCCCTTGGCTGAGAAGCAACCCCACACATGAATGGTCTCAGGATGCTTTACTGTTGGCATGACACAGGACTGATGGTAGCGCACACCTTGTCTTCTCCGGACAAGCTTTTTTCCGGATGCCCCAAACAATCGGAAAGGGGATTCATCAGAGAAAATGACTTTACCCCAGTCCTCAGCAGTCCAATCCCTGTACCTTTTGCAGAATATCAGTCTGTCCTTGATGTTTTTCCTGGAGAGAAGTGGCTTCCTCGCTGCCCATCTTGACACAAGGCCATCCTCCAAAAGTCTTTGCCTCACTGTGCGTGCAGATGCACTCACACCTGCCTGCTGCCATTCCTGAGCAAGCTCTGCACTGGTGGTGCCCCGATCCCGCAGCTGAATCAACTTTAGGAGACGGTCCTGGCGCTTGCTGGACTTTCTTGGGCGCCCTGACGCCTTCTTCACAACAATTGAACCTCTCTCCTTGAAGTTCTTGATGATCCGATAAATGGTTGATTTAGGTGCAATCTTACTAGCAGCAATATCCTTGCCTGTGAAGCCCTTTTTGTGCAAAGCAATGATGACGGCACGTGTTTCCTTGCAGGTAACCATGGTTAACAGAGGAAGAACAATGATTTCAAGCACCACCCTCCTTTTAAAGCTTCCAGTCTGTTATTCTAACTCAATCAGCATGTCAGAGTGATCTCCAGCCATGTCCTCGTCAACACTCTCACCTGTGTTAACGAGAGAATCACTGACATGATGTCAGCTGGTCCTTTTGTGGCAGGGCTGTAATGCAGTGGAAATGTTTTTGGGGGATTAAGTTCATTTTCATGGCAAAGAGGGACTTTGCAATTAATTGCAATTCATCTGATCACTCTTCATAACATTCTGGAGTATATGCAAATTGCCATCATAAAAACTGAGGCAGCATACTTTGTGGAAATTAATATTTGTGTCATTCTCAAAACTTTTGACCACGACTGTACTACCGGTCAAAAGTTTTCGAACACCTACTCATTCAAGGGGTTTTCTTTATTTTTACTATTTTCTACATTGTAAAATAATTGTGAAGACATCAAAACTATGAAGTAACACATATGGAATCATATAGTAACCAAAAAAGTGTTAAACAAATCAAAATATATTTTAGATTTTAGATTCTTCAAATAGCCACCCTTTGCCTTGATGACAGCTTTGCACACGCTTGGCATTCTCTCAACCAGCTTCATGAGGTAGTCACCTGGAATGATTTTCAATTAACAAGTGTGCCTTCTTAAAACTTTAATTTGTGGAATTTCTTTCCTTCTTAATGCGTTTGAGCCAATCAGTTGGCCACAGAGCGTGCCATGCCGTGTCTTCCCAGGGTTTATGAGGCGGGCAGAGAGCTTGAAATGGCCCATTGATAGAGGATGGGTATTATTTCACCCTGCTCTCTCACACTCACACACACACACACACAATGATTTACAGATGTTGTGGAGAAGAGCGGGATGGGAACCACAAGAATGTGCTTGCGTGCGTGCAATATAATGCATTGTTATCCCTACTGCTGCTGATCTGACGGACTCACTAAGCACAAATACTGCGTTTGTAAATTATGTCTGAGTGTTGTAGTGTGTCCCTTGCATTCCATTAATTAAAAAACAAGAAAATTGTGCCGTCTGGTTGGCTTGATATAAGGAATTTGATGTATAGCATTTACTTTTATTCAAGTGCGATAATTGTGTACCTTTTCCACCACCGTACTTAAGTACATTTAAAACCAGATATTTTTAAACTTTTACTCAAGTAATATTTTACTGGGTAACTTCCACTTTAACTTGAGTCATTTTCTATTAAGGTATCTTTACTTTTACTCAAGCATGATAATTGGGTAATTTTTCCACCACTGACAGACGTGACCTATAAAGTGACCACCTCTCCCAGAGAGTGACCTATAAAGTGACAACTTCTCACAGAGAGTGACCTATAAAGTGACAACTTCTCACAGAGAGTGACCTATAAAGTGACAACTTCTCACAGAGAGTGACCTATAAAGTGACAACTTCTCACAGAGAGTGACCTATAAAGTGACAACTTCTCACAGAGAGTGACCTATAAAGTGACCACCTCTCACAGAGAGTGACCTATAAAGTGACAACTTCTCACAGAGAGTGACCTATAAAGTGACAACTTCTCCCAGAGAGTGACCTATAAAGTGACAACTTCTCACAGAGAGTGACCTATAAAGTGACCACCTCTCACAGAGAGTGACCTATAAAGTGACAACTTCTCACAGAGAGTGACCTATAAAGTGACAACTTCTCCCAGAGAGTGACCTATAAAGTGACAACTTCTCACAGAGAGTGACCTATAAAGTGACAACTTCTCACAGAGAGTGACCTATAAAGTGACAACTTCTCACAGAGAGTGACCTATAAAGTGACCACCTCTCACAGAGTGACCTATAAAGTGACAACTTCTCACAAAGAGTGACCTATAAAGTGACCACCAGATGCTGGCATCAGGGCCGGCCCTAGCCTTTTGGGGACCCTAAGCGAACACATTTTGTTCTCTTCTGGATATGTTTTGAATCAACTTTGTTCTCAACTATAAAGACAGACTGAATTATGTGACTAATCTGTTATTTTGCCTGCAGAGAGGCTGGGATTTTGAAGACATCGATTCCAAGCTACAACTTTCTCTCTCTCTCTCTCTCTCTCTCTCTCTCTCTCTCTCTCTCCTCTCTCTCTCTCTCTCTCTCTCTCTCAATTCAATTCAATTCAATTTCAATTCAATTTAATTTCAATTTAAGGGCTTTATTGGCATGGGAAACGTGTGTTAACATTGCCAAAGCAAGTGAAGTAGATAGTAAACAAAAGTGAAATAAACAATAAATATTAACATCTCTCTCTCTCTCTCTCTCCTCTCTCCTCTCTCTTTCTCTCGCTCTCTCTCTCTCTCTCTCTCTCTCTCTCATACACACACACACTGCCAACAGTAAACGTATCCCCTACATCTCTAACTCATACCCCTTTTTCCAGCACAGTCAACCTGTTCTCTAATGAAGGAGCAAAGCAATAGAAACATTACCTTTAAAAGGTGCATAGCCGAAAAGGGGCGATCGGATTGAATCTAGTGTGGACTAAGTCAGTCAGTCAGTCAGGTTTGGCCGAGGATCAACACTGCTGAAACTAACCAGCCTGTGACTGAGGGGATGGGAGACGGGCCCAAAGCTGTCTGGGAACAGTTCTCCAGTTATCCTGTGTGTGTGCCTGCAGTGCATGCGTGCCAATACTGCCTGAGGTTTACCAGTGCATGCAAAGTGAGATGGATGAGTTTGGCACAGAGATCAGAAACCTCTTACTGGGCTCAGAGGAGACAGAGGGCTTAATGCTCCAGTCCTGAACGTCTCATCCACCATATTAGATCCATATCACATCGTTCACATCCGCCGGCATGTACTGTATGCTGATAACTTACTGTCAAACACCTTGTGACATCGATCAATTTATTGATTGATTGATTAACAACCAGTGTTGGTTCTATTACAAAGTGCCATACCTAAGGTCATAATATTTCCTACATGAACGCTATCACACACATCTGAAGAATGTACAGAATGATCATGACCTCCTGCACAACATGCAGGTACCATGTATTCCTCAGAGCCCATCCACTGTTCCATCTGGATTCACTGAACTACGCAGGAGACTGTGTGTGTGTGTGTGTGTGTGTGTGTGTGTGTGTGTGTGTGTGTGTGTGTGTGTGTGTGTGTGTGTGTGTGTGTGTGTCTGGCTCTAGATGCACCTGCTCACGCCTCTGCCTCCTCAGTTCCATGCGCTGGTCCATGTCCATCCATGATGGCCTGGGTGCGTTTCTTCTGTTCAGACTGAAAGAAACCCTCACAGACTCGGGTGAGCTTAACATCATTACACAATGAGGCAATTTTCTCTGAAATAAGACTCTTCTCCGACAGAGGTCAGAATATGCTGAAATGAGGATGTGTAAAAAGGTTTTCCTTGATGCATTAAGTGAAAATGCTCTGTCTGTAGGGGGTGTCATAACCTTTGACCTTTGACCATGACCTTACAACAGAGGAACCCTGAGAGTGACATCATTGATGATCTAGTGTTTGTAGACCCATTCACATTAAGTAGCATGGCACCGTTAAGACCCACACACAATTTGAATACTTCAAACTGCTGCTGTATATTGAAAACATAACCAAACCCTGCTTTTCTCAGATCAGAGCTCTGGGTTGTCACACCTAAGGATGCAAGAAACACTCAACAGTCTAAACAGCCATCAGATTATGAAATCTGATTTAATAATAATCATCATCCTCATTCCAATCCCAGTTCTCTGCTACTAACTAGGCTAATAACATAACAGACTGACACTCCCAAAGACAACAAACACTAAGTGCAGACAAAACATGAGTTTCCAGTCAACACAGAAACACACAATAAGCCGGACAGTACTGTTCTATATGGCTAGGAGAGAAGTGAAAAATACAGCTATAGAGCATCTAGCAGTCGAGGAGCATCGAATTAGCCAGGAACTGCCCTGAGCGAGAAAAGCAGCAAGCGAGTAGGACGATAGCCTGTCAATCGAAGACAGAGCAAGAGCATGCGCGCAACGGCAAGGAGCAGCGGAAGAAGCATACGAGACGGCGACAAGACAGCTAGCACAGACAGAAGAGACGCCAGCAGAACGGTCAGCGATCGAAGCGCGAAGCGAACCCAAGACGAAGTCTCATGAGCAGTCTGCCACTCCAGCTCCGATCCGCTCTCTCTTCTCCTCTCTCTCCTCCTCTCCTCTCTCCTCTCCTCTCTCCCCTCTCTCCTTCTCTCTCCTCCTCTCTCTCCTTCCTCTCTCCTCCTCTCTCTCTCTCTCTCTTCCTCTCTCTCCTCCTCCTCCTCTCCCCTCTTTCTTTCTCTCTCCCTATACCCCCCCCTCTCTCACCCATCTCTACCTCCCTCCTACAATATCTACCTTTTCTTTTTTAGTCAGCTTGTGTTTACAGAGCTGTCACTGGTTAGCTAAACTCAGCAGTGCTGGCTTGAATATGGTGTTAAGGGCAGGCTAAGCAGGCAGGAAGGGGGGCAGGGAGGGAGGCTGGCAGGGAGGCAGGCAGGGAGGGAGGGAGTGAGGGAGGGAGGGAGGCTGGGAGGCTGGGAGGGAGGGAGGCTGGCAGGGAGGGAGGGAGGGAGGGAGGGAGGGAGGGAGGGAGGGAGGGAGGGAGGGAGGGAGGGAGGCTGGCTGGCTGGCTGGCTGGCTGGCTGGCAGTCTCCTAAATTGTTTCCTGCATTGAGCCGGAGGCCTCCACTTCCTCTGAGCGGCCAAAATTACCCCACAACTTATTTTTCAGCCCACAGAGTGGAACAGGGTAGGGGCAGGACGCAGGACTCAGGGCTGGTGCAGAGACAGGAAAGACACAAACATGCCAGGGAGATACTGCGCGGCCCCAGGACAGTACAGTACAGCGTTGCAGATGGTATTCCCTCAAACCTCTTCCATCCCTCTCCCTCTGCGCTCCAGAAGCCATTGTCTATGGCACTCACATAATGCCATGATGTCATTATGAAAAAGAAAAACAAGAGAAATATTTGTGCATTTACAGCCTTGGTATTGGACGATTTCCAACTTTTCTAAAGTGTGTCTCAACGCTTCTCATCACGGCAGAAAGGAGGAAAAAGAGGTTCTGAAATTCACCACATATTGTAAATGTAAATAACAAAAGAGATTTAAGAGAAGATAATACACTGGGTATCTCTGCCAAACCTATCTATAAAACACTGTGTTAGTTAGTCATAATACATCTGTATTTAAGGCTGTACAGCCAGGCAGACCAGGATGTATTTAGTGAAGTGCAGTCCATTTCGTAACATTATAAGTCTGTAGAAACCCTTGCTAACTCACAAACACTAACGCCAAAACTCTGACCGGCTGGCTGATACAGCTCCTCTGAACTGAGATGTCAAATCTGTCAGAGCAGCCCAATTTCTTAAATGATACGTCACCATATTAACTCAACATTATTTGATGTAGGACATTGATGATTTTACGTTCACAAGTGACTGACTGACTTATTATTTGAAGGTTGTGCTGTTCAAAGAGAGTCTGCTTCCACTGAGAAGAGACGTGATTGGCAGATACAAAAACAGAATAGTCGTTGAGGAATAAACAGATGCTGAAAGAAGTGAATTATGGGATGGGTGTGTGTTCATAACTACTGCCAATGAAATGCTCTTTTGATATGATCCTGATCCTGACTTGGTATGTCATTGACAGCTGCCTCTACTGTAAATTCACATTGAGTTTTAACCAACTAGCCAACAGTCTGTTCAGTCACTCTGCTCACTGACAAATACGTCCAGAGTGAGACGAACAGGGTGAGGATGAGGGAGAATAAAACAGTCACAGAGCAAGGTAACACAATGTGTAATTTCTGAAGACTGAAAATTCATGTTTTAACTTCAGTCTCAGAGAAGGTGAAGGAAAAAGAAACCCCAACAGAAACAGTTCAATTCCAGACATTTTGGCTTAGAACAGTTAATAAAAAGAAATCAAAACTCCTCGCTGTTGTTTAAGGCTCCAGTTTCCTGTGCATTTTTAAAACATCCCAAAAAATATTTAAGATATTAGAGGCTGCTATCAATTTAAATTAGGCCTTGAATGTGTTACACGTCTCCCAGTTCATAAAATATGAATGATAATACGGTAATACGGCAATCACAAAGCAAAGCCAACAGAGCGAGCGAGCCTTCTTTCATATGTGTCTACTTATTGGGTAATATGATAGCTCATTGGATCATTGGGAGATGGAGTGAACTGTTATTCTCCTGTTCAGTCTCCTGAGTGGCGCAGTGGTCTAAGGCGCCGCATCGCAGTGCTAACTGTGCCACTAGAGATCCTGGTTCGATTCCAGGCTCTGTCGCAGCCGGCCGCGACCGGGAGACTCATGGGCGGTGCACAATTGGCCCAGCGTCGTCCAGGGTAGGGGAGGGAATGGCCGGCAGGGATGCAGCTCAGTTGATAGAGCATGGCGTTTGCAACGCCAGGGTTGTGGGTTCGATTCCCACGGGGGGCCAGTATAAAAAAAAAATATATATATATATGTATTCACTAACTGTAAGTCGCTCTGGATAAGAGCGTCTGCTAAATGACTAAAATGTAATGTAAATGTTATCACTCTTCATCTGACCCACTGTCCTGCCCCCTTGTTTGCTGTCCCTACTCATGTTGACAAGTGACAACTGTGAATTCCAGGGGTGAAATATGTGCACAGAGAGGAGTGACAGGACTGGACAGCGAAGGTTTGTGACATCACATCAATCTCAGCATTCAATGAATGAGAGGAGACAGACCAGACAAAATGATAATGTTGATCTCATGGATTGTCAGTCCTTGCCGCCATAGATCCTTCTATACATTTGAGAGTGGTTACAGATGTAGGATCTTAATTTGAGCCAGTTTGATACAGCAGGAAAATAATCCTGCAGCAACAAGAAATGTGGATTGTATATTTTATTATACTGTACACTGAGTGTACAAAACATTAGGAACACCATCCTAATATTGAGTTGCACCCCCTTTTGCCCTCAGAACAGCCTCAATTCGTCGGGGCATGGACTACAAGGTGTCGAAAGTGTTCCACAGGGATGCTGGCCCATGTTGACTCCATTGCTTACCACAGTTGTGTCAAGTTATCTGGATGTCCTTTGGGTGGTGGACCATTCTTGATACACACAGGAAACTGTTGAGTGTGGAAAACCCAGCAGCGCTGCAGTTCTTCACACACTCAAACCGGTGTGCCTGGCACCTACTACCATACCGAGTTCAAAGGCACTTAAATATTTTGTCTTGCTCATTCACCCTCTGAATGTCAGACATACACAATTCATGTCTCAATTGTCTCAAATCTTTAAAATCCTTCTTTAACCTGTCTCCTCCCCTTCATAGCTTTCACCTGGATTCACCTGGACAGTCTATGTCATGGAAAGAGCAGGTGTTCGTAATGTTCTGTACACTCAGTGTATATTATAATTAATTTGTAGGGGTTCATACATTCATACAAATCACTAACTTTAGAAGCCTTTTTAAAACTCAAATACACTACAAGTTTGCATTTGCTGCTTTGCAGGAAAATTCTCAGCAACAAAAGAGTAATCAAATTAAGATGCTACAGCTGTAAATTTCTCCATCTATCAGATTTATAGCAAACCATGTGGTGGCGCTGCCATTTTGATGTTTTTCCCGAAGGAATGGGCCTTTAAACGTAGCCTTAAGAGGTAATGCGGGGTTTCTCGCCAGCTACGATGGTCCACTTCACTGCTACTGTCCCATTACATGTTTTATCTATCAGAGGGTTAAAAACAGAATGGGCTTACCATGCCTGTAACCACTTTAACCAAATAAAATAATCAAAATATAGTCTATGTTTGCCAGAGCACAAAAAGGAATGCAGCTTTCTTAAACTAAATGTTATAGTAGCGCCATGCTCTACCAACGAAGCTACACAGGACTACATGGGACATCTACACTGATTGAAGTGGATTTAACAAGTGACATCAATAAGGAATCATAAACTGGATGGAGTGGAGAGGCTACTTCACATGTGAAGAAAACTCCCAACTCCTGCTTTGGTAGCCTGGGATGTCGGTATGCCTCTTTTCAAGCTCTTGATTGAACTTGCCTGGAGCATTAGAATTAATGAAATAGTCCCAAATGTGTGAACCCTGCCCATTTGGAACTCCAGGCAGGCTTAAGCAAACACTCAAAGAATTTGAATGATTTCAAATACTATTTGAACCCAGATCTGCTTTGGAATTCCAGTCACCTCCAGAACTATTGACACCCTTGATTAAGATGAGCAAAAAAAAGACTGTGTAAAATAAATAATACAAATACTGAGCCATATTTTATGCTCCAAAAAAGTAATACTTTTTTCTCTCAAAAAGATAGGGGTCAAAACTATTGCCACCCCTATTTTCTATACTTTGTGCACCCTCCCTCTGCAAGGAATATGGCAATGAGCCTTTTTCTAGAATGTTTTATGAGATTGGAGAACACATTGGGATGGATCTTAGACCATTCCTCCATACGTAATATTTCCAGATCCTTGATATCCTTCAGTCTGTGGTTATGGACTGCCCTCTTCAATTCAATCACAGGTTTTCAATGGGATTCAAGTCCTGAGACTGAATGTTAATTTTGTGGTCAATTAACCATTTCTTTGTGGATTTTGATGTGTGTTTAGGGTCATTGTCTTGTTGGAAGATCCACATGTGGCCAAGTTCCAGCTTCCTGGCAGAGGCAACCTGGTTTTTGGCTAAAATGCCCTGGTACTTGGTAGAGTTCATGATGCTGTTGACCTTAACAAGGACTCCAAGACCAGTGGAAGCCAAACAGCCCCATAACATCAAAGATCCATCACCATATTTTACAGTGGGTATGAGGTAATTTTCTGCATATGCATCTTTCACACCGTTGGTGTGCGTGGCCTCTATTTTCGTCTCATATGTCCATACCACCTGGTTCCAATCCAAGTGCCAATGCTGTTTAGCAAGTTCCAAACGTTTATATTTGTTGGTTGCTCTCAATAAATAATTTTATTCTGGCAACCCTTCCAAAGAGCCTACCCACTGGGCAAAAACGGGTTGAATCAATGTTGTTTCCACATAATTTCAACAACAAAAAAATCTATGTGTTGACGTTGAATCAACGTGGAAAACTGATTGGATTTGGAAAAAGTCATTGACCTAAGGACATTTCCCAACTTTTAACCTAAATCTAATGACATGGTGAAATGTTTTGTGGATTTCAGGTTGAATTCACGTTAGTTGACAACTCAACCAAATGTAAATCAAAACTAGACGTTGAACTGACGTCTGCGTCCAGTGGGTATTGGCATGGAGGTGGCGTCTAATTGTAGATTAAGAGACTTGGCGACCCCAAGAAGCGACT